CTGCCTGCAGGCCAGTCTGAGAGCGTGCGGGACGTGCAGTTCAGTGTCCGGGACTACTTCACCTTTGCTTCCACCTTCGAGAATGGCAACGTGCAGCTCTGGGACATCCGGCGTCCTGACCGGTGTGAGAGGATGTTCACAGCCCACAATGGACCTGTCTTCTGCTGCGACTGGCACCCCGAGGATAGGTGTGGCATGGGGTGCAGGGGGCAGCAGGTTCACAGTAAGCTCTCACTGCCTCAGACTTGTGAGTCAGTCCGGAGCAGCAGAGCTGGGGGATCCCCTCTCCACAGGAAAGGCCACTGAGGGTTTGGGTGGGCCTTCCCACAGGGGCTGGTTGGCCACAGGAGGGCGTGACAAGATGGTGAAGGTCTGGGACATGACCACACATCGTGCCAAGGAGATGCACTGTGTGCAGACCATCGCCTCAGTGGCCCGTGTCAAGTGGCGGCCTGAGTGCCGCCACCACCTGGCCACGTGCTCCATGATGGTGGACCACAACATCTATGTCTGGGATGTGCGCCGGCCCTTCGTGCCAGCTGCCATGTTTGAGGAGCACCGAGACGTCACTACGGGAATCGCCTGGCGCCACCCCCACGACCCCTCCTTCCTGCTGTCTGGCTCCAAGGACAGCTCACTGTGCCAGCACCTGTTCCGCGATGCCAGCCAGCCTGTTGAGCGCGCCAACCCCGAGGGCCTCTGCTACGGCCTCTTCGGGGACCTGGCCTTTGCCGCCAAGGAAAGCCTAGTGGCTGCTGAGTCAGGGCGCAAGCCCTACACTGGCGACCGGCGCCACCCCATCTTCTTTAAGCGCAAGCTGGACCCTGCCGAGCCCTTCGCAGGCCTGGCCTCCAGCGCTCTCAGCGTCTTTGAGACAGAGCCGGGTGGCGGTGGCATGCGCTGGTTTGTAGATACAGCTGAGCGTTACGCGCTGGCTGGCCGGCCACTGGCAGAGCTCTGTGACCACAACGCAAAGGTGGCTCGAGAGCTTGGCCGCAACCAGGTAGGTAGGTGCTGAGCCTGGGGGCCCCGGGGCCATGACCTCAGGGCAGGGGCTTGTTCCTCTGTCAGCTGCGCCCACCCCCCGACCTCAAGCTCCGCAATGGATTCCAGCGGGTCACACCAACAGCCCTTGCCCCGATCGATGAGGGTGTGAGGATCACACAGGGCCAGGGCTCCAGAGTGGGCCAGACCCTGGACTGTCCTCTGGGGTGGTCTAGGGAGTCGTGTGACTGAAGCTCTCTGTTCTGCCCTCTTGCTTCTGGAGCTCTCCCCGCACCAGCAGTGGTGGAGCTGTGAGCTGCCGCTCCCATGCCCATCTCTGGCTGCCCCACAGGTCCCCATCACCCAGTTCTGTTTCCCTCTGTGCTGCTCTAGGGCAGTGCCTGAGATTTTTGTCTTTCCCATGAGCCTCAGCTTTCCTACTTGGGGTGGGCCTGGACATTGGGTACCTGAGACAGCTGAATGCTGAGGGCTTGTGATTCTGTCCAGGCAGAGGGGGACCTGCATGGGGTTCTGGGTGTCCAGGACGCCCGCAAGTGACCAGTGCCCGCCCCTAGGTGGCGCAAACGTGGACCATGCTGCGGATCATCTACTGCAGCCCTGGCCTGGTGCCCACTGCGAACCTCAACCACAGCGTGGGCAAGGGTGGCTCCTGTGGCCTGCCTCTCATGAACAGGTAGATGCCGGGGGCAGCTCTCCCCAGGGGCTGGGGCTGCTCGAGCCCCCCCACCCATGGGCCCTTCCTGCCCCCAGTTTCAACCTGAAGGATATGGCCCCAGGGTTGGGCAGTGAGGCGCGGCTGGACCGCAGCAAAGGAGATGCACGGAGCGATACAGTTCTGCTCGACTCCTCGGCCACACTCATCACCAACGAGGGTAGGCTGGGGTGCTGACGGGAGAGGGGTGGGGGTGTCCCAGAGGACCCTGAACGCCCACCCCATTGTCGGGCAGATAACGAGGAAACCGAGGGCAGCGACGTACCTGCCGACTACCTGCTGGGTGATGTGGAGGGTGAGGAGGACGAGCTGTACCTGCTGGATCCAGAACACGCGCACCGTGAGTGGGGGTCTGGGCAGGGTGGGGTTCAGAGGTGAATGGAGGACAGAGACTCAGAGCTTCTGCTGGTCCCTGCCTCCCAGCCGAGGAGCCTGAGTGTGTGCTGCCGCAAGAGGCCTTTCCACTGCGCCACGAGATCGTGGACACGCCTCCCGGGCCCGAGCACCTGCAGGACAAGGCCGACTCCCCGCACGTGAGCGGCAGCGAGGCGGATGTGGCCTCCCTGGCCCCCGTGGACTCCTCTTTCTCGCTCCTGTCTGTCTCACACGCACTTTACGACAGCCGCCTGCCACCTGACTTCTTCAGCGTGCTGGTGCGCGACATGCTGCATTTCTACGCCGAGCAGGGCGACGTGCAGATGGCTGTGTCTGTGCTCATTATCCTCGGTGAACGGGTGCGCAAGGACATCGACGAGCAGACCCAGGTGTGTGGTGGGCGGGGCCTCCCCCCTCTGCAGCGCCGCCCCTGGCACCCAGATCCTGACCACCGGGCGCTCCCTCCTCCAGGAGCACTGGTACACTTCCTACATCGACCTACTGCAGCGCTTCCGCCTCTGGAACGTGTCCAACGAGGTGGTCAAGCTGAGCACTAGCCGCGCCGTCAGCTGCCTCAACCAGGCCTCCACCACCCTGCACGTCAACTGCAGCCACTGCAAGCGGCCCATGAGCAGCCGGGGCTGGGTCTGCGACAGGTGGGGCAGTGGAGTTGGGAGGTGGGGCAGGGGCCTGCAGGCAGCGCAGGAGCCCCCGCTCAGGCGCCCTCCCTCCTGCCCGCCCCAGGTGCCACCGCTGCGCTAGCATGTGTGCCGTCTGCCACCACGTGGTCAAGGGTTTGTTTGTGTGGTGCCAGGGCTGCAGCCACGGCGGCCACCTGCAGCACATCATGAAATGGCTGGAAGGCAGCTCCCACTGTCCCGCGGGCTGCGGCCACCTCTGCGAGTACTCCTGACGGGGCATCTGCTGGGCTTGCCTGGGGCCTGGGGACCTGACTGTCCGGCCGACCGCGTGCAGAACCCCGCCTGGTCTTGTGCCCGAGACGGGCGGAGGCTGAGACCCCAATAAAGGAAGTGGAGCGGCTCTCAGCACTGCGTGTCACCCCATCGCGCGGCGGGCCCGCCGTATGCCCGCGGTGCTGCTGGCGGGCGGGGGCTTTCGGCGCTGTCGCCATGGTAACCGGCGGCGCCAATAGTCGCTTTCGGGCGGCCTTCCCCGCGTTCCCGTAGAGGCTTCTTCCGGGGCGGCCCAAAGGAGGTCACTTCCGGCGTCCGTCCCGGCTGCCGGCCGTTGCCACGACGACGAAGCTGCCGGCCAATGGCTGGCGGACGGGCCCGAGGTTCCCGGCGTGCAACGCGGCTGTCTGAGGGCGGCGGGCTCATGGCGCCGGCGTCGCGGCTGCTCGCGCTCTGGGCGTTGGCGGCTGTGGCTCTACCCGGCTCCGGGGAGGAGGGCGACGGCGGGTGGTGAGCGGCCCGGGAGGGGCCGGGGCGGTGGAGGCACGTGCGGCGGGCGGGGCGCGGGCTGACCCAGCTGTGCCCGCAGGCGCCTGGGCGGGCCGGGGGCCGTGGCGGAGGAGGAGCGCTGCACGGTGGAGCGTCGGGCCGACCTCACCTACGCCGAGTTCGTGCAGCAGTACGTGCTTCCTTGATCGCGGAGGTCGGGCTCTGTTCACACGCCCGTCTGCCCGGACCGCCCAAGGCCGCCTTCCCTGATCTCGCGCGCGCGTGTGGGGCGGGGGCGGCGAGGGTGACGGTCGGACCTGGCCGCGACTCTGCACTTCTTTCCAGGTACGCCTTCGTCAGGCCCGTTATCCTGCAGGGACTCACGGACAACTCGGTGAGCGCGCGCCCGTCCCCGGCCACTCTTGCCCATACTGGGGTCCGGCCACTAAGCCCCCTCCCCGCCCCCGCAGAGGTTCCGGGCCCTGTGCTCCCGCGAAAGGTTGCTGGCCTCGTTTGGAGACAGAGTGGTCCGCCTGAGCACCGCCAACACCTACTCCTACCAGAAAGGTGAGCGGCCCCACCCCTGCGGCCCGCCCGTTTGCCAGCACCGGGACGGCTGGACCAGCCGGTCCTGACCCGTCTCTCTCCCGCAGTGGACTTGCTCTTCCAGGAGTATGTGGAGCAGCTGCTGCACCCCCAGGACCCCACCTCCCTGGGCAATGGTGAGTCAGACTTAGGTGGCGGTAGGGGGTGGGGACGCTTGGAGTTTCCAGGTGCCAGGATCCCTGCCCTCACCGTCTCTGCTGGCAGACACCCTGTACTTCTTCGGGGATAACAACTTCACCGAGTGGGCCTCTCTCTTTCGGCACTACTCCCCACCCCCGTTTGGCCTGCTGGGAACCGCTCCAGCTTACAGCTTTGGAATCGCAGGTGAACGCTGCTCGGGACTGGGGAGGAGTGAGGCTTCTGAGGGTGGGTACAAAATGGCTTGGTCACCAGGTGCTCATAACCCCACAGGAGCTGGCTCGGGGGTGCCCTTCCACTGGCATGGGCCCGGGTACTCAGAGGTGATCTACGGCCGTAAGGTCAGCACAGGGTTGGGGTTGAGGCTTGGGGTTCGGTGACCAAAACGGGCAAGGGTGACGCTGCTGCTCCTGCTCCCAGCGCTGGTTCCTCTACCCACCTGAGAAGACACCAGAGTTCCACCCCAACAAGACCACGCTGGCCTGGCTCCGGGACACATACCCAGCCCTGCCACCGTCTGCACGGCCCCTGGAGTGTACCATCCGGGCTGGTGAGGTCAGTAGCTGGCAGGAGAGGGCCAGGCCAGACCAGAGGCCCCCAGCTAATCTGTGCTGCACCCCTTTTCTCCATCAGGTGCTGTACTTCCCTGACCGCTGGTGGCATGCCACACTCAACCTTGACACCAGCGTCTTCATCTCCACCTTCCTCGGCTAGCTAAAGCAGCTGGCAGGCATGCCTGCCACACACCAGCACGTCCCACCTCGTGCTCACGGATTTTATTACACAGACAGTGGCGGCAGTGGCTTCAGCCCAGCCCACCCTCACCTGCTTTTCCAGCCCACAAAGGGGGTCAATCACGGCCCAGCAAGAGCTATGCTGAGAGGGGGAATAGTCCAGAGCCCAACAGCAGAACTTGGAAGGGGCCGGGGTGGCCAGCAACACAAACTATGTACAGGGGTGGAGGGCTTCCGCCCAGGGCTCTCCTGGACCAGGATGCTGGGCAGGGCAAGGAATCTCAGTAGTCCTCCACCCAACCATTCTCAGAGATGAATGCGTCAATAACCTCCTTCATGGCCAGGTTGGGGATGAGCTGTTCCTGGGTCAGGGGGCTCCGGGTCACGGGGTCAAAATGACCCACGCGCTGCAGTGACAAGAAGGGCAGAGGGCAGTCAGTGGGCCCAGGACCATGCTGCTGGCCCTGCTCCCCCAGCCGCAGCCTCACCTGCAGGTGCTCCTCGATGTCCTTGCGGTCGTAGGTGATGCCACTGGGCGTGATGCACGGCTCCCGCATCAGCTCAAAGCTGATCTTACCACACAGGTAGTCGGGGATGTCACGCTTCTGTGGCACAGGGGCACACGATCAGAGGCTGGGAAGGGGCACTGCTCCAGCACCTGTCACCCACCGTGGCAAGTGACAGACACTCACCTTCCTCTTCTCGTCCACCTGAGAGAAGAGCTCGTCCATGTCCGCCATGTACTTGTCCTGTGAAGAGTTGAGTGCTGCACTTGTGTAGGACACCCCACCTCCCTCCTCCATGGGGCACAGACCCAACACAAGGCGGGGATGCTCCCACGCCAGGGGCACACACACAGACCCACATGTGGGAGGGGGGCACCCTCACGTGCTTAGCCTCAATGCAGGCCTGCTGGGCCCGGACGTGGCTGTCGTCCTCATCACCCTCGTGGTTCCGCTGGCACTCTTCCAGCTCCCTGGGGGTTGACCAGGAGCCAGTAAGAGATGGACCTGGCCAGATGTCTGACCACACCCCAACCTCAGGGCTAACATTCATGCTGCTTCCCCACGTTTTCTGCTTGCCAGTAAAGCCTTCAATAAATGCTCATGTTGGTAGTTGGTGATTCAGAATTATCCCAAGACAGGGCGACCTGGGGTGAGGGTCCCACCTCTCACGCTCCGCGGCAATGAGCCTGGAGAGGTAGGAGTGCAGCTCGCTCTCCTGGTGGATGCGCCGCTCCTCGATGCTATTCCAGCGCTTCTTCTTCGCGATTCGAAGAGCGCTGGGGATGTCGTCCCCGAAGTTCAGCCGCTGCTCCTTGGCCAGGCTGTAAGCTGGGGAACGGGGGCTTCAGGTCACTCTCTGGCCAGTCCACCCGCCTGGCCCCAGGGGCCCCACAATCGGGCAGCTTGTCAGCCAACCTCGCTGCAGATTGGCGATGGCCTCATCATAGCTCTCCATCTCCAGCTGGCACTGCCCCAGGAAGAAGTGCGCCTTCACAGACTGCCCGTCCAGTTCCAGGGCGCGCCGGCAGTCGGCCAGGGCCTGCTCGTGCTGCTGCATCTTCAGGTAGCACAGGGCACGGTTGGTGTAATATACGGCCACCAGCGGGTTCCGGGTCTAGGGACCAAGGCCGGGCCAGCCGCATGAGGGTGTAGGCTCAGCGCGCCCCCTCTGTCCCACGGCCCGTCCCAGCTTCTGCGCTCTGGCTAGAATCAAGAAACTAGGCTTCTCAGTCGTCAAAGCCCCTGGATCCAAGGATCTGCAGACAGTGGAGTACTGGCTGAGCCTATCCGCTTGACTCCACTTGGTTTTGTAAAGTTTTCCAAATCTTTGGAGAGTCCGGGCTTTGGACCTGGGATCCTCAAGGGGCGAGGGTCCCTGCCCTCCCCCCGACCCGGCCGGCCTCCATCCAGCATCCCACCCTCGTTCTCCGGCACCCGGTGCTGGGCTCGAGAACCACGGCTGGGCTTTGGGAGCCCAGGACATGCCCCGCAGAGGAACCAGACCCTCGGTGGGGCCAGCCGGGCACGGGCCCAGCCCTCCCCGGCGCCGCCGCCGCCGCCCTTCCCGCGCGAGCGCACTCACGATCGCACGGCCGTAGCAGGCCGCCGCCTCCGGGTACTTTCGGCCCACGAACAGACGGTTGCCCTGCTCCTTGAGCTCCTGCGCACTCGGGCTCTTCTCGGGGCTTCCGCCGCCAGCGCCCAGCCGCGCGCCCCCCTCCTTCTCCTCCTTGCCCTTCATGGCGCCGCGCGGCACGGCCTGGGCTGCGCTCCCAAGCTCCGCGCCTGGCGGCCCAGCGCCCGCAGCCCGAGCCCCGCAGCTCGAACCCGCGATCCTCTCGGGCCCGGCCCAGCTCCACCGCCGGAACTTCCGGCCGGGGGCGGGACCAGCGGGGACGCACGGGTGGGGGCGAGTGGGGCTGCGCGTGCGCCCAATCAGCCTGGACGGGGACGCTAGGCCCGCGGCGTCGGGGGCTGGGAGGAACACTCCGGTTCCTTCGCTCGGCGCTCTTAGGGGTCGGCGTTCGCGGAGGCCCTGGCCCGCCCTGCTGAGGCCTCTTCGGAACCGGCCTCGGCGGCGGCCGCCACACACATTCGACTTTCCCAGTGAGATGCCTTACTTGGTTCGCTGAGGGCGCACTCCCCCAACAGCCTGTCCCGACCACCTGGCGTTCCGCCCCCGCCGCAACGCGCAGAGACCCCTCCCCAAGCAGCGGGCCCCATCCAGAGGCCCTTCCCCCGGCAGCCGGCCCCGCCCCCAGCAGCCCGCCCCATCGGCAGAGGCCCCGCCCCCAACCGCCCGCCCCACCCAGAGGCCCCGCCCCTACCAGCCCGCCCCTACCCAGAGGCCCCGCCCCCAGCAGCCGGCCCCGCCCCCTGCAGCGTCCCCGCCCCTCCGCGTGAACATAGCGCCTTCCCGCGCTGTTGGGTGTGAGGACCCCAGTCGCTGGGCCGCCATTCTGGAGCGCCATCGAGAGGTCCTACGGGCGCGCGCGGACCCCCGAGTGCGGCTGGAAGCCCTGGGCCGCTGGTAGAGTGGAAGGGGATAAAGGGATCGGTGGGGCGAGCGTCCCCTGTGGCCGGACCTCCCCTCACCGCCCTTCCCCAGGTATCGGGAGGAGTTGCCAGCGGCCATCAGGGGCAGAGTGGAGAACTATGTGACAGGGAGCTGGAGCGGCTGCTGGCCTGGAAGCTGGCGGTGAGGGGCGGCCTGACTCGAGGGCGGGGACTCCGTAGGGCGGGTCTTCATCGGGCGTGGCATCGGCGGGGCGGGGCCTCCAGAGCGGGTCTTCGTGGGGCGGGGCCTCCCTGTGGGTTGGCCTCACTGTGGGTCCACCACCCCGGGCACCCTGACCTGGCTTCCCACAGAGGGGCCGCTTCCAGCCACGTCTGCAGCAGCTGGTGACCACCAATCCCCCTGAGCTGGCTGTGCACTGTTCGACCACCACCTTCTGCCTCCTGCCAGATGTGGGGGCCAGGGTCACCCAGCTGTCTGCCCTCTGCGGTGTGGACCCACCACAGCCACAGACTCAGGTGAGTTGGGTGGGCACGACTTGGGTACATAAGCGTCCTTGTCTGTGAAGCAGACAGTCTGGGCCCTTGTGTGTCTCTAGGACCAGGAGTCGGAGCCAGAGCTTGTCCTGATGGGGTGTCTGGCTGCTTCTCGCTGCTCACAGCAGTCCTGGTGGCTGGAGCTCGAGACGGAGGCCTTCATGTCAGATGAGGCAGTGGTCACAGTGCCCGGCCTGCCGGCCCCACAGTACACCCTCACGTACTACCTGCTGTACCTGGGCCAGGTTCAAGAGCGGGCCACAGCTCTGAGCCAAGGTGAATGAACTGTGTGTGGGCAGGTTGGGGTGGCCCCTGCCCCTGGGCCTGAGTCTGTGTGCTCCCCACCTAGTGGAGACAGCACTGTGGACCTGGGCCGTGGGGCAGAGGCTGTGCCCAGACCTGCTGCCCAACCGTGGCCCCAGCCTGGCCACCCACGAGGACACTAGGCCCGCCAAGAAGCATGGGACCCAGGCCGAGTGAACTTGGCTATAGTCCAGGCCTGCTCACCTGCCACACAATCTTAGGCCTCCGGGTCTCCCTGGATGGAGGGAGGCTGAAGAGTCGGCCAGCCACTATGGGAGCTCAGTAAACACTTCCCAGACTCACGCGTGATGACACACCCGGCCTGACCGCACACCCGGCCCCCAGCCCTCCCGGGTGCCTCCAGCTCCCACAGACAGCACCCGTGGCCCGCAAACAACTCCCACACCTGACCTCAGGTGCAGAGGTGCACAGGGAGGGAAGTCCGGGCCCTAGTGGTGGGGAGGGCCCTCATGGTCTGTTCAGCAGGTGTGGGGGTCCTGACAAGTCTCCAAAGCCCCGGACAGCCCCCTGGTGCTGTGTAAAATATTTATTAATTATCCAAAAAGGCTCAGACCGCAAGTCCTGGGGGTAGGGGGGTGGCTGGGACAGGGTCTCCTCTGAGGCCACCCACACCCGAGGGGCGCAGCAGCCCTGAGATGTCCGTTCGCAAAGGGCAGACGTGAAGGCCCCTGGTGGGCGGCCACCACATGCCGAGCCCTGGCCTGTGCAGCCTCAGGTAGCCCGTCAGGGCGGTGGGGGGATGTGGGCGCCCAGCAGGTCGTAGGCGAAGACGTTCCAGAAGACGGCGAAGAGCAGGAAGGTGCCGTAGGCCAGCAGCACCACCCACCAGCCGCACTGGTCCCGCAGGCGCTCCTCGTAGCTACGCAGGATGGTCAGGCCCATGCTCACCCCCACCACCGCGCCCGCCAGGTGCGCCATGAAGCTGGGCTGCGGGCCCGAGGCGGGCAGCGGCGGGGAGAAGCGCAGCCACACGGCCCGGCCCACCTCGGAGCTCACTGCAGAGGGACGCGGCAGGTGGGAGGTGCCCTGGCTGCAGGCTGAGAGGCCCCCCGGCCCTCCCCCCAGCCCCCTACTCACTGCACACCAAGGCCAGCACCATCCTCAGCAACTTGTAGGGACATCTCATCCCAGCCCAGTTCTATGGGGGTGTGCAGATGAGAAGTGGTGAGGCTCACCAGGGGCCCCTCCCCACACCCCCCACCGGGCAGGCCCGTTACCATGACGACGTTGGCCAGGTGTGCTGAGCACAGGGCGTAGACCCCGCCGGAGCCTCCCACCACCGGGGCCCGCATGTCGGTGATGGAGACAGTTAGGGAGCCTGTGTGAGCAAGCGGCGGGTGAGGGTGCAGCCGGCCAGGGCAGGGGGTGGGGGTGCGCGCCTGCCTCACCTGCCAGCACGCCTGCCAGGTAGAGCAGGCTGATGCGGAGCAGGCCGTGCACCATCTCCAGGGGCACCCCGATCATCAGCTGCAGGAGAGCGTTGAACCCCAGCTGCTCCAGCCTGGCCACAGGACAGCAAACAGGCACAAGGGGTGGGGTCAGCCGTCCGGCCCCACCCCCAGCCCTTGCCTCAAGTTGCTCCACCTGCCCTGGGGTTAGTCTTTCTGATGTAATAGCAGTGCAGGGAGGGGGCTCACCGGGCAGCAGCGCTACTCACCCAACGTGCATGAACATGTACGTGAGGAAGCGCCAGGCGCGGGCACGGTGCCCAGGGTGGTACACGAGGGGGCTCTTCATGTACTCGGGGTGGTAGGTCTGCAGCACCCACTTGTTGAGGCGGGCCCCGTAGCACAGGAACACGATGATCTGGGGACACGAGTGTTAGGCTGGTCAAGGCCAGGAGCGCCGGAGGCTCCCGGGGCAGCGGCTGGGGGGCCCACCTGGGCAAGGGTGACCGAGGCCATGAACACAGGGGGTGGGCAGCTGCGGTGACGGTAGAAGTACCAGCGGCGGTCCACCTCGCAGGGCAGGATCTCATAGGCCACGTAACGCACAAACCGCTTGTAGACACCTAGGCCCGGCTCGTCCAGCAACCCATCCCGGGGCAGTGCCCGCTGTCCATTAGCAATGGCCCGCTTGAAGCTGCTGGAGCGCTTGCTGCTGATCTGGGGACAGGGGCCTGAGCATGGGCCATGGACCTCCTCACGGCACCCCTGCCTGGGAGGCTCGCCCAGCTTCCCGCATCCACAAAACCCCTGCAGTGAGGAGTCGCCTTCCCGCCTCCTCTGGCCAGGACACCGTGCCCCTGCCGCCTGCCCACCGTGGCACTGACCAGGTCCACCAGCTCCTGGTAGCAGACCTGGCCCTGCTCGTTGCTCTGAGCCAGGGCCACCAGCATGTCCAGCTTGGCCGGGTCCAGGGGCAGTTCATGGCTGTGCACCAGGCCAGCGAAGGTGTCCGCACCGATGAAGCCTGTGTTCTCGGGGTCCAGCTGCTGCAGTGAGGAGCCGCCAGCCAAGGCCTGAGTGCCCGCCCGACCCCTGGACCAAAGGGCTGGGCCAGGCTGGCTGCGAGCATCAGGCTCAGGCTCCCAGCACTTTTGGGACAGGCGCCCCATGCCTGCCTGTTCCCCGGGACCCTGCTTGATCCCAGGAGCTGGCAGGGCACTGGTGCCTGGGTCCCAGTCCTCCAGCTCCTCAGCTGTTACCCCGTCTTCCACCCTACCCATCCTGGAAGGGGAGGGCCAAGGTCCAAGACCAGCCAGCTGCCCGCTCTCCCTCCCTCCCTCCCTCCCTTCCCCCGACTCTCCCTTCTCCAGCCAGGAGCCCTGGTCCAGTCAGCCCTCTCCTGGGGTCCCAGACACAGGGGCCAAGGTCGTGCAGGGATGGGGTGGGTGCCGAGCGGGGCTCTCGGGGAGCTCGGTCCTGCACAAGCTCAGCTCAGCGGCAGGAGGGCCGCATTGGGGGCGGTGCCAGCTCCCCAGACCACCCCGCGACGCACCTGCTCCTGGATGAGCTGCAGCAGGGAGCTCCTGTCCATAGAGCCGGGCCGGGGGCCGGGGTCGGCGGCCGCGGCCGGGAGGGGCTGCTCTGCGGACGACTCCGCTCCGCCCCAGCCGGCCCGCTCCGCCCGCTCCGCTCGGCGCCGCGCTTGGGCCGCGTCACCGAGTCGCCCGCCTGCCCGCCCCTGCCGCACACGCCGCCACGCGCGGCCAAGACACGCGCGCACCCTGCACGCGGACGCACACCCCGGACAGGAACCGCCTCCAGCGAGCACCGCGTCTCAGTGCCGACCCCCACCCCCGCTCTGGCGCAGCTCCAGCACATTGGACGACCTCCGCGGCAGCCGCTGGTAAATGGAGTCACAGGGCAGTTGAGGGGGCACCTAAAACCCCCATGTAAGTCCGTTCGTCCTCTCACAGCCCTCCTGGGCTCAAGCCTGTGAGGACGTCACCGCCTCCACGAAGCCTTCCCTGACCACTGCTTGCCACCCGCCACAGGCTGACCCAGTGCTCCCTGCGGTTCATGTTCCCAGGGCTGCAGATCCTTTCTTGCGGCAGACACACCCCCCCCCCCCCCGCCCTGCCCCACCTAGCACCGCAGCAAGGAAGCCCCTCACCCTGCATGGCTGCTACAGCCACCTTAGGGTGAGGAAGACCCTGCTTCAGTCGCCTTGACTCTGACGACCAAGCCCAGCCCACTCATCCACACCCTGGGGTGGAGGCCCCTGACCGCTCTTGCAACTCCATGAAGGACAGCAAAACCTCCCGCCCTAAGAAGGCGCCAGGGCTGGGCACAAGGGGCATTCCGACACTGAGTGGAACCCCCAGGAGGCAGGGCTGCAGTTGGGATGAGGGGACCTACTCCTGGGAAGGTGGGCCAACCCCTCCACAATGGAGGTGACAGATAAAACACGTGTGACTGCCGGGCACGGTGGCTCACACCTGTAATCCCAGCACTTTGGGAGGTCAAGACGGGCAGATCACGAGGTCAGGAGTTCGAGACCAGCCTGGCCAACATGATGAAACCCGGTCTCTAAAATTGGCTGGGTGTGGTGGCACGTGCCTGTAATCCCAGCTACACAGGAGAACTGCTTGAACCAGGACCCGGGAGGCAGAGGTTGCAGTGAGCCGAGATCACGCCATTGCACTCTAGCCTGGGGAACAAGAGTGAAACTCTGTCTCGAAAAAAAAAGATACACGTGACTATGGCAGCCCCTGCAAGAGCCACTCAGAGGGCTCCTCCTAGGGTTGCAGTGGTCCCAGAAGGCAGGCCGTGGGGCACAGCGGGCTCAAACAGCATTAGGCGGTAGGTACCTCAGGGGCCAATGCCACAAGCTCCAAGGCAGGGCCCGCCTGGGCCAGGACTCGGGAGGGAACCCCACTTGCCACTCCCTACAGGCAGACACCGGAGGTGGGGACCAGGCCTTTCGACGTGTCTGGGTGACTTTGGGAAGGCCATGCCCTGGGTCCCGAGAAGCAGGTATCTGGACTCAAATCCCAGCCTGTCCCTCCTTCTGGTCCATCCTGCCTCCCTCCCTTGGGTCAGGGCCCCAGGGTCACCCTGCTCTGTGACCACATCTGGTCACACAAGCCCAGGTTCTTGGCGCAGCTCAGCGAGGCCGACAGGACACTCTGGGGAGTGGGCGGGCAGTGCCAGGGCACACTGGACCCTCAGAAGGGGCCATCAGGAAAACATCTCAGGTACCGGTGCCCCCCAGTCCATGCCGGGCACACACCGTCCTCATGCAGTGAGCTCCTACTCCCAGACCGCAAGACCTCCAGGGACACTGGCTCCCAGGCCACAGCGCCCCAGAGTGGACCTTCCAGAGGCCATATGCACATGCCTGAGACCTCAGGACAGTGACCCAGGGACAAAGGGAGGGGTGGCGTTTCCAGCCCACGTGAAGATAAGGAACACATTCTAGGTTGAATCAAGCCAAGTTGTCTTCAGAGACTGGGATCCCAGATGGAAAAGACACAGTGAAGTTTAATCAGGAACCCAACCTCCAGTCCCTGCTGCAATCACAGAAATAGCTCCAAACTTGATGGGGGAACCCCCCAATGCCTGCTTTTGGCCCAAAGCTCCGCCTTCCAGCCCTCCTCACACCCACTGGCCACCCAGGACCAGGAAAGGGGGTTAGAGCCCTGAGAATTCCAGGTCTGGGGTCACCGGCTCCCACACCTGTGCTCCCCAGCCCAACACACATGATGCCCAGAGGTGGGCAACCCCTGACAGCGGTGGCCAGCACTCGGGAGCTCCTGCTCAGCCACCTGCCACGGCCCACCCTGGGGGTCTGGCAGGAGCCAGGACAGTGCATGGCAGCCTGAGGCCCTGCTGCAGACCGACTGCCTTCAGAAACAAAAAGTCCGGGCAGAAGGGCATTCCCAGAGTGGCAGCCCGGCCTGCACCCCAACTGTGAGGCCCCTGCAGAGCCCCAGCAGTGGGCCACACCATCAGGGGAGGGGACTTAGGTACCAGGGGCCTCACTGGCTCTTCACCAGGACCCTGTAGAGCGAGAAGCTGAGGACTGCGGCCATGGCGGCCCCGAGAACCCCCAGCAGGCCCCGGAGCCAGAAGGAAGAGGGACGCAGCTCTGCATGGACCAAATGTCTGAAAGAGAAAAGGATCATCGGCAGATGCCTCAGGCACATGTCCCTGGCTTCCTGCTGGGCACCCTCCCATGTCCTGGACTCACAGGACCTCAGAGCCAGGTTCCCAGACCAGAGGCACAGCCGGCAGAGGCCAGGCCCTGCAGGAGCGCGCCTGGACACTGGCTCCCTCTGCCACACAAAGCTCCACCCCATCCGTCACTCTGGCCCCATTTCCAGGCCTGACACCACAGCTGCCCACTGCCCAGATGACAGACGCTGCTAGTCCCTAGGGCTGTGCTGCCGGGTACCCACGGGAAGGTGGCCATGGTGGCAAGCTGGGTGAAGATGGCAGTGCTGGGCTCAGCTGGGCCAGCACAGGAGAATGGCACGGGAGCTGGTAGCCGGTGCTTGCGGCAAAACTCGGCTGGCGATGGGCCAACCAGCACACCACCTTCGGGCAGGTCAGCCTTGGAGGAGACGAAGAGGCAGGGGGTCTGCCCGTCCATGTAATGGTGCTGTGGGCAGAGAGCGGTATGAGGTACAGTCTGAGGTGGCTGAAGCACCGCTGGGGGGACAGACCCTGCCCCGTGGCCACGTGGCCCCTGCAGGACCCCACCTTGTAGACGCTGGCACAATGTGCAAAGGACTTTGGGTCACTGCCATCAAACATCAAGCAGGCAACATCACAGGCGGCGTCCAGCGATGTGGCCAGATCATCTGTGCCCACCTCACACAGCTGGGACAGACAGTGGCCTTAGGGAGGGTCCCTGGGCTCGGTCCCCCTAGGGCCGTGCTGGGCCAGCTCTGCCAGGCAGGCCCAGGTGTCCCTGGGTCCACCCTCAGGCACAGGCCATGCCGCCCCAGCACTCACGATCAAGTACTTCTCCTGTCCGTTGACCTGCACCGTGTCGATGGTGTAGCCGGGAGGCTGCTCCCTCGTGTCCTGGTGCTGAGGGAGGTGAGGTCCCGACATTCGCTGGCTCCGGCGCCCCCCCAGATTGCCCTGCCCCGCACCTGGAGCCCCTGGGGTGGGGGTGGGGGGGTCTAGGGTGCTTACCCCCAGGCTGTGGCCGAGGAAGGCCTGCAGGAAGGCAGACTTGCCCACTCCACGGGCCCCCACCACCTTGCAGAGGAGAACACTCCGCAGCGTCTGTCCCTTCTCCTGGTCCAGCCTCTTCTCACGGGTGACTGTGAGGATGGACACAGGTTAGGACGGCCGCCAGGATGCTGGGCCCAGGCCCAGGGAGGTGGGTGCCCACCTGTGATGGCACGAGTCTGCGAGTCCTGATCACAGAGGGTGGGGTAACCCAGGTAGCCCAGGTGTCCGAGGCAGCTCCGGACGTCCAGGTAGGTCACCAGGCTGGGGGTGGGCGGGAGACACAGTGTTACGGTGGGGAGGGTGGCGCGACGGGAGGGTGTGGTGCGGGCCGTGCTTACGTCCACTGGCAGAGGTATCCGTGCAGCGGCAGCCGGCCGGCCTCTGTGCGGACTGTGCGCGGGAGCTCAGGGCCCCAGGGGGCTGCTGGGAACACACTGAAGAGGCTCTGCAGCTCCGTGGGCGAGAGGGCGCCGTCGCGGTCCTGCAGGAGGAGGGATGCGGTGGCATGTGTGCCGGCGAGGGGCGGGGGCGGGGGCGTCGCCATGCTCTCACCTGGTCGTGCTTCTCAAACACCCTCTGCACAAACTGGTAGCCAAGGTGGTTGAGCTCAGTGCTGCAGCCGGGGGGCACGTGGAGCCTGCGGGGAGGTGACAGCCCATCCGGTTCCCAGGAGACTCTGCGCCACCACGCTCGGCACCTGTCACCCTGCCGGCCCCGTCTGTGCAGTCGGACCCTCCCTGTAGGACCCAGAGGCTCCTGTACGCCCCCAACCCTGCAGCTGCGATGGGGAGGAGGGTGCCTATCTGACTCCAGCACATGGGAGGCCTGGCTGAAGCCCCCAGGCCACAGCCCAAGCTGCTGACCCCAGCAGGGTGAGCAAGTCACGCATGCGGGATTGGCAAGGGGCCAGCCCCCACCTGACTCAGAGCTCTGTGGATGCTGAGGGATTCAGGGCACAGCCAGGCAGGGCACTATGCCAGACGGCCTGCTGAGTGAGACCTCCCCTCAGGGAGGGTAGGCCTCGACCCCAGGCCCACTCACGGAGGGAAGAGATAGTCGGCTGTCAGCTCCAGTGTGTCGCTGTAGCCGAAGCTCCGCAGGATGGTCCATGTGGTCTCGTGCCGGCCACGCTGGATGAAGAGCGTGTTCAGGAAGAGGAAACCTGCACCGAGACAGAGCAGGGGGAGCACCAGGCACAGCACCCTCCCCACACTCCCCAGGCGCAGGTGGGCACCCGGCCTCACCATCCAGGGTCAGCCGGTCCTCCCACACGCCGCCCGCTACGTTCCTGCACACCACCGTCTTCACGTCCTCCAGGGCCTGCGGGGCCAGGGGGTGCCCGAAGCAGGATTTCTGCCTCCGAGAGAACGTTGCTGGGAGTCAGCCAGTTACCCGGAGACGGCCTGTTCTGGTCACTAACAGCAGCGGAGGATCGAGGGGGCTGGGCACCGAGGGTGGGGCAGGGGCACACCTGGAAGGCGTTGAGCTCCTCGTCACTGAGCGCCTGGTCCAGGTCCTGATCTGAGAGCCTGAAGATGCGTGTCAGCGCCTGGGCGCACGCGGGCCTCAACTGCGGGGATGTTGGCTCAGCACTCTCAGGCGGCCTGTGCCCGCCCGCCACGCCACCCCACCCAGCACGCCCCAGGCCCCTGGGGAAGGAAGCAGTGTGTGGGGCCCCCGCCAATGCTCACCTGCTTGGTCTCAGGGTCATAGAGGGGGGCTGTGGGGTGCAGGACAGCCTTCTGGGCATAGTAGAACAGCTCTGAGATGTTCCTCAGGTTCTTGGCTGAACACTGGGAAAGTGGGAACAGACTCAGGGACATGCCCCGAGGAACCGACCGAGGACACGAGGAATGAAGGAGGCCCTGCCCCTAGCTCAGCCCCTCAGCCGGGACCCACTCACCTCCACGCAGGTCTCAATCTCAGGAAACTGGCTCATGATGGGGAGCACGGCCTCCATGGAGCTCCCTGCCCGCAGATCTGACTTGTTGCCCACTAGGATGATGGGCACCCTGGGTTGAAGGCCCATGGTCACCAGGGGCAGGGAAGCCGGGGGTCCCAGCCCCTTCCACATCCCCCTCATTACCTGGGCCCCCGCGTGGTCCCCCCATTCACCAGTGGAATCCACTTAGTTCGAATCTGAAAAGCAAAGCCTGGCTGTGAGGTGAGGCTGCCCGTGGGCACATGGCTCCCAGCTGGAGCTCGAGCCTGGCTCGGGGAGAGCAGAAGCGGGAGGTCAAGGCCCACTGATGGCCCAAGTCCCGGCCACAGGAACCAAGCTGGTGGGAGAAGGCAGGCAGCAGGTGCAGCCTCATCTGCACAACCCCAGTGGCTCCCAAATGCCCCCAAGATCACTGGGGCCCAAGCCCAGGGCAGCCTCTGACACAGGCCCTCTGAGGTTCCCCCAGGGGTTTGGAAACTGGAGAAGAAAGGGGGCTGCTGGCCTAAATGGCTCAGAATGGGGCCGTCCCATATCCTCTAGGGGGAAGTGGGATCACAGGAGAGAGCCTGTGCTCCCCAAAATGCTGTGAGAGATGGCACTGGTCATGGGTTGAGTGAGGGGCCACCAGGGCCACCAGGGACCACTGTGTCTCTGCCATTGGGGTCTGCACTGAGGGCTCACCTTCTCAATGGTGGCCTCCTCAGAAACGTCGTACACCACGCACACCACGTTTGCCTGAGGGAACAGTGACGAGGCGTGGGTGAGGGCTGTTGGCTCACCACTGACGATCCTGGCCGCTCCACACCATCTCAAGGCTCCAGGAGGCCCCAGACGCTCACAGGTAGCATGACTGCAGCTCTGAGGCCGGGAAAGCCCAGCCTTTCCTAAAACCTGCCTCCAGCCTGGTGTTGGCAGAGCAGGCACTCCCCGTTGTCACACTGACAGCTGCTGCTGAACCCTCAGAGAAGCCTCTTCCCCACCCACTGCCAGTGCAGGCACACCAGGCCCCAGCAGCATAGCTGTGGCTGGCAAGACCCTTAGAGCAGAGGGCTCAGGACAGACACGGCCACACCTGCAACCCTACACCATGCAAGACAGCCGCTGTCTTGGCCCCTGCCTCTCCCCTGGCTGCAGAGTGACAGGACCGCAGTGAGGGGCGCTGGCAGTAGGGGCTGCCAGGTGGCTGTGGCCTGCGCCCTCGCCTGGGATGTCCCCGGCACACGTGCTCTGGTACTAGGAGCTCCGGGTGCCCGGAGGCCGGGGCGGTGGGCTGGAGTACACAGCAGGGGCAGGTGGCGCACACAGAGCCCACAGAAAGAGCAAACGCTGCTGCCACCTGGGCAGGAGGGAGGAACAGCCCGCGGGGAAGGGCCCTGTTATCCCTGGAGCACCACTGGACTGAGCGGTGCCGGCTCCCAGCGGGGTGCGCTGTGGGGGCCCCAACAACCCTCAGTGCGGAGGTCACAGAACGATCAGGGCCAAGGACACCCTGAGCACCTCAGTCCAATCCCCCAGCCGGCGAAGCGGATTAGGCCGAGCCCGCGCCCAGCCCCTCCCTCGTCCCGCGCACCACGGGTACCTTGTGGATCTCCTCCCGCAGCTCCTCATCCGTCTGCTCGGCTTCTAGGGGGAGGAAGAGACCCCACTGCAGACCCAGCAGGCCCGCCGGACCGCTCCGGGCCGGGCCCCCGGGAGGCTACGGCCGCTACCTGAGTAGTCCACGATGTGAGTGGGCACCTTCTCCGGGGTGACGTCCGCGGGGATCGTGATCTCCTCCGCGCGGGGAGGGACCTGCAAGGGACCCGCGCGCTCACCAGGGACCCCCGGCTGGGCCCGCTCCCACCCCCACGGCGGGCGCGCCCCTCACCTCCTCGGGGAACTCCTCGCCCACCAGGGACAGGATCAGCGACGTCTTCCCCACCTGGGCTGCGCGGGGCAGGGCGGTCAGCGCGGGGACCAAGGTCAAGGCGCCCCCCGACCCCCGAGACCCTCACCTCGCGCCCCGGCCGCCGCAGCTCCGAGACCCCCGGCCCGGCGCCTACCCTCGCCCAGTAACAGGATGCGCACGTCCCGCCTCATGGCTGCCGCTCCCGGACCCGGAACCCGGCCCCGACCGGGTCCTCAGGCTTTCGCTCTGCCCCCGTGCCCGCCCCGCACTTCCGGTATTCGGCCCCGCGCTGGCCCCATACTTCCGGCCCCGCCCGCACAGCCGCACAAGCGAGTCGGGCGGGCCAGAACGGCCAGATGTGTGGCAGCGCCACTGCGTGGACGCGCCGGGCACTGCAGGCAGCGCAGGCTCCCGGCGCCAGGCCGACCCGTCATTGCTTCAGAGCACTACAGGAGCCTTGACAAACAGCCCATTAAGGGACGGGCAGAGGCTGAGCTCAGGCCAGGAGTGACCAGAGACAGCCGGTGCAACAATGCAGCAATAATGCAATAAATGCCCATGTTTATTACAAGATATAAATATTAAAATTTCTTTAGGCAAAAGGGCAACAGATTAAAGTATTTTCAGATCGCGAAATTCACAACAGCTTTGTCCAGACGATTTACATGAATCCTGGCCTGTCCCAGCATGAGGCCACTGACCACCTGACTTCTCTGCCAAGCCTGTGTCCAGGTACCAGCCGTGACACACAGCACCATGTCCCTGCTGCATCTCAGCGGCCAGAGACCTCCCACACCAGGATCTCGTTGCAGGCGGCCGTGAAGAGCAGCCTGGCAGACGGTGTAAACCTGCACAGGTGCACTGCATTGTTGTGGCCAGCAAAGTCCTGCGCAGTCCCCGTGGCACAGTCCACCAGCCTCAGCATGCACTCTGCGGCAGATGGCGCAGGTGGGCCAGGGTCAGGGCCAGGCAGCACGCAGAGGGCTCCCCCAACCCACCCGGACTATCCCCGCTGGGCGCGATGCTGGTCGGGGGAGCCGGTGCTACAAGGGCTCCTGGCTGTGCCCTCCACGTGCCACTGGGACTAGGGGGCCCATCACTGCCAGGCTGTTGGCCACCCTGCATTCAGGCCCTGTGCTGGGCGTCGTGCCTGGTTCCTCACCGGCATCATGGTCTCCTGGCCCCGGGACCCTCTCTAGGGCAGGTGTCCTCACCCCACCCCAGAGACGAGGGGCCCGGGCACGGGTGAGGCACCTGTCTTGGAGCAGGGCACCAGTCAGCCTACATGGCCCCCACCTAAGACCGGCCCACCCCAGTACTCACCAGCAAAGCCAAGAGCCAGGAGGCGGGTCCCCGGGGACAGGCTCAGGGACATGGCAAAAAAGGGCAGTGGTATCTTCTCCACCACCTGTGGGCAGCCAGCGTGAGGCTCCAGGCCTGTGGGCTCAGGGCTCAGCCAGGTCCCACCCACCACGCCGGATCCCTGGGGCTCCGGTGACAAGCAGCAGGTGCGTGTACCTGCTTCTGGGAGAGGTCGTAGATGATCACCTCCTTGTCAACGCCAGGGCCCACGTACATCAGCAGCGCCCCATCCCAGGGGCAGAAGGCAGCGAGGGAGGGCGGCAGGTGGCCCTGAGTCTGCAAAGGCACAGCATGCTGTGGTGGGGTGGACGGGCGCCAGCCCCACCCACAGTGCCAGAAGCATGCTTTACCTCCGTGGTGGCAGGCATTGGGAAACTCAACCAGTCCACAAGCTCACAGCGGTTCTGCAGCCAGTCGGAGGCCCAGACACTGACCCGCTGGTCCCCACTGGCAGCCAGCCATAGGTCTGCGCCCTCCACCCCTAAGTCTTCACACTGGGAATGGAGTGGGTGAAGGCTGATATGTGCCTTCTGCCAAGATGGGGCCTGCCCCCCCAACACCCCAGCCCCTGCTCCCTGGCTCTTGGGGCTGCTTTACCTCTTTGCGTGTGACACAGATGGTTGAGATCGGGGCGCCCTGGTGGTCACTCAGCACACGGAAGGTCATCCCTGTGCGGGAGTGGCTCACAGCCACGAGCCCATCCTTGTCTCCAGAGAGGACAGTCTGACCTGGGACCACACCGTCACCCTGTGAGCCCCCAGCCCAGAGACTGGACCTGGGCCAGGTGAGGACGGCACCATCCCCTACACACCCAACTCCTCACCATCGGTGGAGAAGGTAACAGTGGTCAGCGCCACCGGGTGGGGATGCATCTTGAGCTCCATGGCTGTGCGGGAGACGCTGAAGATGCGCAGGGAGCCGTCGCCATAGCCTGCCGCTAGCCGCTGCTGCTCAGGGCGGCCACAGCACTGGGGGCTCCATGCGAGGCAGAGGCAACTCTGAGGACCCACAGTGGGGAAACTTCAAAACTCACAGGGGTCCTGGGGACACACACTCAGGCCAGAGAGAGGATACAGCTGCCCCACCCATGCCAGGCCCCCTGTGAGCAGGCCCTCACCCCATCCCCAGCCTGGGCACTCCCCACACACCTGGTTCAGCACCTGGAACTGGATCACAAGCTCCATGCTGGCCAAGGCCCACACCCGCACACTCCCGTCCTCACCGCACGTGGCACAGTGGGACTCCCCGGGGCTGAAGACCACCTCGTTCACCTGAGGGAAGCCATAGCTAGGCTGGGGGTATTGGCCCCTTGGCAGGAGAAAGGGACACAGGCATTTTCTATTCCAGCCTCCAGGGCCGGGCTGTCCAAACCAGAGCACGTGCCTCTGGCCCTGGCCAACTGCACATGGCGAAAAGGAGCAGTTCCAGCCTCCTGTGTGCGTCCCTGCGCTAGATCTGGGTGAGTCCAAACCAAAGCAAGCCTACTAGCCAGTCAAACCCGGTGGGATACCGAGAAGAAAGCTGTTTTGACGGCACCTGAAACACAGCAGTGTGGCTGTGTGTCCCTAGCAGGCTGCAGAACGAGGTTGAAAGCACAGACGCTGCTGGTTGCAGCGAGCACACCAGGCAGTCGCGTTTCTCCTCCCAAAACCGCTGCACGCCGATCGGGGGGAAAGGCAGACGTGTCATTATATGGGTGCCACTGACAGCTGGGACTGCTGGACTGGCAGAAAAGAGACACAGGTGCCACTCACTAGTGAGAGGAAGCGACGCAGCTGGCACCAAATGTGGACTTTACGTGCAAGTGAGAACACGATGCACTTCGTTAAGAAAATCAGTTCAGCCGGGCGCGGTGGCTCACGCCTGTGACCCCAGCACTTTGGGAGGCCGAGACGGGCGGATCACAAGCTCAGGAGACTGAGACCATCTTGGCTGACACGGTGAAACCCCATCTCTACTAAAAAATACAAAAAAACACTAGCCAGGCGAGGTGGCGGGCGCCTGTACTCCCAGCTACTCAGGAGGCTGAGGCAGAATGGCGTGAACCCGGGAGGCGGAGCTTGCAGTGAGCTGAGATCGGGCCACTGCACTCCAGCCTGGGTGACAAGCAACTCCGTCTCAAACAAACAAAATCAGTTCAGCTGAGCGATGAGGGACTGCAGGGACTCAGACTGGGACGTCTCAGTCTGTCTCCCCAGGAGGGGCCCGGGGCCCTGTAAGGAAATGGTGAAGTCCGGGCGCGGGCAGAACCATACAGGCGGGGCCCGGAATTCCTTACACTTCCACATCACAGGGAGGCCACCAGCGGCCACAGGCTCAGGTCACGGACTCAGGACCTGAATTTCCCGGCCCTGGTGGTTGGACACACGCATGATCTACCCATACAATGGAACAGTATTTGGCCGTAAAGAGGAATGACTGGCTTGGCACACACAGCGGCCGGGATGACCCTGGAAACCACAGTCGGGGAGAGAAGCCAGGTGAGCCAGTTCCTACAGAACATCCTGAACGGGAAAATCTAGACACAGAAAGCCGCTCAGTGGTTGCCAGGGGCTGGGGAGGCGGGAAACGGAGAGCGACCGAGGAACAGGCACACACAAGGTTTCCTCTGGTTCCACAGCTGCTGAATATGCTGAAACTCACCTACTGAAGTGCACAGAACTCATGCTGTGACAACCACACCTCAATAAACCTGCCGCCAGAAAGGCAAACAGCCCTCACCCGTCTCACACTCAACTTCCTCTGCTGGCTATCGTCATCTTCAAATACTAAAGACAGGTGCCTAAAGAAAGAAGTGTGGGACAACTGGAAGATGGGACTCGGCATCAAGGAACAATCAATCCCGTGGGGACCAGCTGACCACAAGCAGAGCTCTTAGACCCACAGGAGGAAGCCCGTGGCCGCAGCTGCTGGACCAACGCCACACCAGAAACCTGGTCCAGCAGGGAAGGACTGGCACCTGTCCTGCTGCCCCAATTCAGCCCGGGAGGCCACCTCTCCTAAGGCTGTAGCTGGCGGGTGAGGGGGTGACACGGTGGCTGCCCCAACCCCATGAGGCCACGGAGCTTCCAGGCCAGGTGGTCCCAGAGAGGTGAGTGCTGTGTGCTTCTTGGAGACATGGCTCCAGCACCAGGAGGCTGCAGGACAGAGCTGGGCCTTATAGAACTGGACCCAACACCGACCAGAACCTGATCAGATCTGACCCAGAGAGAGCAGAACTCGACCCAGTAGCCGCCTGGCCTCCTGACCTCTTGAGCCCACGAGACTGAGTCAGCAAAGCCAGTCTATGGGAGGTGCGGGGACAGACGATGTGGGGTTTTTAATCTTTTTCTTCCCTTTGAGATAGAGTCTTGCTCTGTCGCCCAGGCTGGAGTGCAGTGGTACAATCTTGGCTCACTGCAACCTCTGCCCGCCGGGTTCAAGTGATTCTCTTGCCTCAGCTTCCAGAGTAACTGGGATTACGGTATACATCAGGAGGCCCAGCTAATTTTTGTATTTTTAGTAGAGACAGGGTTTCGCCATGTTGGCCAAGCTGGTCTCAAACTCCTGACCTCAGGTGATCCGCCTGCCTCGGCCTCCCAAAGTGCTGGGATTATGGGCATGAGCCCCCACACCCGGATTAATGTGGTTTGACAATTAAAAAACAAAACAAAAGAAAACAAAAAAACGCACAGCAATAGCATAGAAAGGACAGTTTGAGAATACCTTCAAGGCCTGCCAGGCGGCTCCCTGGTGCAGACACACCCGGGATGGCACTGAGGGACGTGCACACCCAAGGCCTCCCTCCTGTGAACCCCAGGCGGCCACTGTGAGCCACTGACTGCAGGACTTGGAATACTCCGGGCTGGCGGAGATGGGGCCAGCAGGCAGGAGGGCGCCAGGTTCGGCTGCCCTGCCTCTGTCCAGGCTGGAAATCCCTCACCTTGCTCCTGTGGCCACTGATGAGACGTGTGCTAGTGCCCTCGGCCCAGCTGATGAACCAGAGCGTGCCTGCTCTGGTGCCCACGACGCCCATGTCCACGCTGTCATCGAAGCTGGCGCTCACCACAGCCCCGTCCAGCACCAGCTCGCGTTCCATGAACACAGAACTGGACCTGAGGGTGCAGGGGAGGAGAAGAGAGGAGAGAATAGCGGGTCTCAAGGCTGACAAGAGCCAGCTGGGTCCCCGGCTGAGGCAGGGCCTTCAGCATGGCATCTTGGGACCCATCTGTGCCCTCCTGGTGGAGAAGAGAAAGCCCGTGGAGCTGGGGCTTCTGGGCCCGTGCCCGTCCTCAATGGCAGCCAGCGAGGCCCAGGCCACACCCAAGCCTGTCCCTCGGAGGGGCTAGCAGACGACTGGTCTACAAGGCAGCCTAGTGGGGGGCACTGGCTGCAAGCCCCGGTCAGGGACACCAACACCCACCTGCAGCTCAAACACACAGGGGTGAACGGCTCACCTGGCGCCTGAGCCCTCACACCTCAGCTCCGACAGAACCCCCACAACCCACAGGCGAAGCCGCCCTGTGCTGCTGCCGCTGACCAGTCGAGAGCTCGAACACAGCAACAGCCCTGGGGGCAGAAGGAGCCATAAGGGGCCACGGCCGCCCTCCCAGAGGCCCTGGGTCACAAGGCTGCCCGGACGCCAGGGCTGGAGACGAGGCCTCTGCCCCAGTTCTGAGGATACCAGGTAGGGGTCCTGAGGGCCACAGGGCTTCTGCAGGGCACTCACCAATGCCACCGTCGTCTGCCTCCCAGGACAGGAAGCAGCGGCCAGCACGTGTGTCCCAGACACAGACCTGGCCGGAGCTGGTGCCACAATAAAGCAGGGGAGGTGCCCCGTAGCAGAGCGAGGTCAGCTCTCCAGCCCCCACTGTCTCTGGGACTTGCTCTCGATGCACCTGGCAGGGTACGAGTAGCCATGGGTCAGTGGTGTCCCAGGGCCCAGTCAGATTCCACCCCACAAAACGACCCCTGGGCCCAAACACCAAGCGGGTGACCTGGCACCTGAAGGCTGATGTCTGCCCCGCGTTGCTGCAGGAGCCAGAAGGTGACAGTGCCCTGGCCCACACAGGTGAGCTCGCCGGCGTCCCAGGGGTTGAAGGCCACGCCATGAACCGGCTCCGGGAGGCGGGTGGAGGACACAAGGTCATAGGTGGCCGTGCCCCACAGGGCGAGGGTGCGGCCGTCGTGGTCCCCTGGGAAGGACACACAGCAGCCGCGTCAGGTGCACAGGTGCAGCCCCCTCCGGGGTCTAGGGAAGCCCGTGGCCTCCGACACCTCTGCCACTGACCCAATGTGACGAGAAGCCTGTCATCTGGTGAGAAGGCCAGGGCCAGCACAGTGGTGCTACGGTGGGAAATGAGATGCTGGCAGAGGCCACCAGACACGTCCCAGACGCGGATCTGACAATGGGCAGTCATGCTGCTACGGCCCGAGGCAGAGGCCAAGACCTGGCAGGCAAGAGGGCATGCAGTGAGTGGGGAGGCCGCGGCCGGCTGGCCCCACCTCAGCTCTGCCAGCTCTGGCTGGAGTGGAGGCTGGGGTGGCCATCGGCTCCGTCTGTGGTGGTGAGGGCCTGCATTGGTCCGGGAGCTGGGTTCTGCCAGGCACAGTGGTCCTGGGTGAGGAGGAGGGCAACGAAGGCGGGCACCTGGGCACTGTGGCTGAGGGCCAGCGTGGAGATCTCCGCAGGGTGGCCGGGCCAGTGCTGCTGGGCGCCAGAGTGCAGGTCTTCCACCACCACCAGGCGGCCGCACGTGTAGGCAAAGAAGCCTGTGCGGAGAGAGGGCGGGGCCTGGGGGCGGGGCCGCGCAGGGGGCGGGGCCTGGCGGGGCGCGGGGTCAGCATCATCCCAGGCACAGGCGCGCCCTCCCCATCGCCCGGCCGCCAAAGTGCTTCCCATGTCCTGGGCTGGATCGCCAGGAGGCGCTACCGGGAGAACAGAGCCCCACATTGATGCCTGGCGCTCATACGACGCCAGGGCCTGGCCTTGGGGTGGAGACAGCTGGACCACGCGCGGGGGCATCTTCGGGGGGGGGGGGGGGGGGTAAGCTCTGGGCCCCCACCTGTGTCCGGCCTCCAGACCATGTTGGCCCGCCCATTCCCGCTGTAGCCAACGACAGCCTTCAGACGCAGCCACTCACCGCTGGCGGGAGGCAGGGAAGTGCCCTGCAAGGAAGGAGACCCGGATGCTGCTGGGGCCCAGCATGGCCACCTGGGCCCCAAAGCCTGCACATGGGAGGCTGCTTTGGGGCACACCCAGACCAGCTGCAGAGGGCACCCAGGGGTATAGATGGGGAAGCAGGGGTGGGAGGTGTGGGCACTCGGTGTGCCAGAGCCAGGAGGGACACAGGCCCGTAGGGCTCTCAAGGGCAGCTTCTGGATGAGAGGGGAAGGCGGGTCAGCAGGAGGCCACCACAGGGTGCCGTCTGGAGGCCGGCGGAGGGCAGGGGCGGGGGTGCGGGATGAAGGTGCCTCCAGGAGACAGGTGCCTGAAGGCCAGAGCATCACCTTTGGAGACCAAAAACAACCCTGAGGAGGTGCTGGGGAGCCCTGGGGGGGCCTCTGTGCTTGCTGGGGAAAAAGAGGGCTCCCAGAAACCACTCCCCACCTTGGCAGAGTGGGGGCCGCGGCTGGCCCTGGCAGGTGTGAAGGCCTTGTGGGAAGCTGGGCAGGTGGTGCATGGGGCCCCTGAATTCTTGGTGACACTGGTGCCTGGCAGGGAGGAGGCAGAGCCTGTGGCATCACACTGCCCTGTAGCTTTTCAGAGACCCCACACACTACACGCAGTCTCCCCACAAGGCCCTGGTCTACCACACAGTGAGAATGCACAGCGGGGCAGAGGCCGGGGCCACAGGCACAGGCAGGTGACCTCGCCTCTTCACACGGTGGACTCACCGACCGCCCTCAGGTCCCTGCACCGGCACCAGCGTCCCTGCCCTGCCCTCCACTGCTCACAGCGTTGGCTGGGGGAACGGGGAGATAGGGCAAGCCCCCAGGAGCCCACTGCAGCAGCCCAGGCCCCGTCTCCAGCCCTGCCGGCCTCCTCCTCCGTAAGCAGTGACCCCTCGGGGTCACAGCTCTCCTCACAGGGTCCTTCCTCATCCGACGTGGTGAAAGTGCCTGGGCCCAATGAGGATAGGAAAAGCTGCCCACATCCCCTCACCCCACTGTGTCCCACCTGATGAGCAGTGATGGTACCTGCACCCCAGAGCTGGACATGCGTGAGTACCTGCTGTCACTGGGCCTGTGCCCTCAGACCCGAATCCCCCCACTCCCCCAGGACCCCTGCTGCTCACCATCGCCACCTTCGGGAGGCCTGGCACAAATGCCCAGCCGTGGTGGAGATGCCTGAGATGGCTTGGGGACCTGCTGCTGGGGGAGCTCACTGGCCCTGGACGCAGCATCCTCTAGCTGTCCTGTGCCCAGGCCTGGGGAATAAGGAGCCCTGTGATGTTTGGGGAGGAAGAGGAAGGGCTGCTGGGCAGACACAGGACCAGCCCCAGAGTCAGCGCAGTGCCTGCCCCCTTGCAGAGCACAGCCACTCACCTGCCTCGCAGGCTGGGGAGGGCCCAGGGAACCTTTGGTCGCTGGAGAAGGAGGAGAGAGGGTTTCAGGAGGGCCGGGGGGCCTAAGCAGACACAGCTGAGAGTAGGCACTTGCCTCTCAGTAGTGGCCAGGATATCCCAGAGGAAGACGGCGTCCCCTGCGCTGAGGACCTGCTGCTGGTCAGGAGAGAAGGTCACAGCCTGCACAGGCTCCGAGTGGCCGATGTACACCTAGAGGTAGTGGCGTCACATGCAGGGACCCTGAGGCAGGGCATGGATGCTGCCGTGTGCGCAGCCCCTGGGGGTGGTGAGCCCCACACAGCGTGAGACCCTGGAGGCATGGGGGGTCCTTGAGGGCTCACTCTTACCTCTCACCTTCTGCTCTCCCTGCCCCCACCCACACCTGCAGGGGTCTCCCGGGCCACCTGAGGAGGTTTTCCTGATGGCCAAAGCCACCTGCCTCCCCACGCACACACCTGGGGGCCTGGGCTGGCCTGTGTCGTGTAGTCCCACACCTTGACCGCCCGGCCAGCGGCCATCAGCAGGAAGCGGGCATCCTCACTGAGCATCAAGGAGGAGCAGCGCTCAGGGTGGACACCGGGCAGCTGGAACACAGTGCTCTTGGGAAATGCCGTGTCTCAGGGAAGTGGCTGGCAGCCTGTGGCCTCCCTTCATTGTGGGTGTGGCGATGGCCCCCCACCCAGCTGGAGGGGCTGCAGGCACAGAGGCCGGGCCTGGACAGCACAGGGAGGGCCAGGTCGGCGGGCTGCAGCCCTGAGGCTCACCTCCCGGATGATGCGGCCTGACGCAGCATCCAGCACCACGACTCTGTTGGATGAGGTGGACACCAGCAGGTGGCCCAGGGCTGCAGGGCCAAAGCACACAGCCATGGCTGAGTCCAGGCGGCCGCTGGCCAGGTCCAGAGTGCTGATGTCGACTCGCAGCAGCTGGGATAGCAGCAAGTGGCCGACAGTCAGGTCCCCAGGCAGAGCTGGTGCCACCCAGGGCCAGGCTCGGGAGGGAGGCCCCGGGGACACTCACTAGACACCCAGGCAGCGTCTGCCCTGTACAGGAACCTGGCCACACCTGGACCCCACATGGCTGATGTGTACTGTGACAGGAGGCGGGACAGGGCCTAGGTCCTGCTCGAGTGGCCGTGACCTCCCTCCTGCCCCTGCAGCCAGCCTCTCATGGCCCAGTCGACCCAGGAGGGCTGGACTCACCTCGTCCAGGGAGGCCGAGCACATAAGTGTCACTGTGTGCTTGGAGGGTCCCACGAAGGCCAGCAGGCGGCCATCCCTGCTGACTGCCAGAGTGCTGGGGCTCGCAGGGGCATCCGGCCATACCATGTCCGCTGTGGCCACATGGGGCGGGGCAGGGGTCAGCTCGGGGGGAGGGAGCGCCAGGGTACACGTGGCCAGGGCCCAAGGAGGCCGCTGCCCCTGCCCCCACTTTCGGGAAACACCAGCCCAGGAGCGCAGATGCGTCACAGTGGCAGAGGAACGCCAAGGTGCCAGTGGGCGCCAGGCGCTGCCAGGGGAGCTGGGAATCCCTGTGGGCCAGCAGTGGTCACAAGTGACCACTCAGGTGGCCCAAGTTATGGTAGCCGCAGGACAGGTCAGGTGCCCGTGGCTGGGTCTGACCCCAGCTGCTGACCTGGAGCTTGGGCTGCCTGCCTCCTCCTGGGCACAGACCTGGGCTGACCTCTGGCCTTGGGGGCAGGCAAACGCTAAACCACAATCTCAGGGCCTTGACAAGGTGACTGAGGCAGCCGCGCCGCCCCACAGGACCCAGCCAGTGGACCAGGAAACCGGCACGTGTGTCGAGGTGTTGGCCTGCACCAGACCCAGGCCTCTCCCACCTGGAGGAGTCCCCTGGAGCGGCTGCGGGGGGCCCAACCTGCCACTCGGAGGACATGCCACTGGGGGTCCGCACAGTTGTACTGGGCCAGGGAGCCCTGGGAGCAGGAGCTGAAGAGCAGGCGGCCGTCAGGGGTGGCGGTCAGGCCGGTGATGGCTCCTTGGTGGCACCTGCAGTACACACAGGGACCCCGCTGGACCCAGCCCCAAAGCCCAGCTAGGACGTGAACCCCCAAGAACCACAGGGTCCCTCGACCTCCAGCCAACCAGCCTGGCCACAGAAGTCCCTGTGGGGCAGCAAAGGGTGGGGCTCCGGCCAGCGCTGGCCATCCTGCATATGACCCCCGCCTGGCCACCCCAGCTTCCACCGCGGGTCTCCGTGGGGCTGGTGGCTGGCTGGGCACTTACGTGTGTTCCACCAGGACCTCAGCGGCCTCCAGGCTGAAGGAGCGCACGGCCCCACTGCTAAAGCCGCAGAAGAAGATCGACCTTGTGGGGTGGAAGGTGACGGTGCAGGGGGCCTCCTCTGATGATGTGAAGTCGTACAGCTGTGGGACAGGGGCCGTGCTGAGGGGACGGCAGGGATCACAAGGGCCCAAAGGTTCTCCAGGAGGCCCAAACCCACAGGGCCGACACAGCCTGGAAAGACTAGGTCCCTATAGGCCCCCCTCACCCCTGCTGACAAACCCCTGCTTCACGACCTCCTGGCCTTCTCTGCCGCGCCGCCCCGCCAACCGCACCTGCTGCAGGGTGACCAGGTCCCAGATGCGGACGGTGCGGTCCTGGGACACGGTGGCCAGCTGTCCCCGCCTCTGCTCCGTGGCGAGGGCCAGCACTGGGGCGGTGTGGGAGCGAGCCAGCATGTGGTACACCCGGGACGGCGTGTCCAGGAAGCCCAGGTGGCCCGAGGAGGTGGCGGACAGCACACGGAGGCCGTCGGGGCTGACACAGACTGAGCTGACGGGGCCCTCGTGCTCTGTGGGTGGGGCAGGATCAGGGACCTCCCAGGGCCACCCCGGGGTGAGCGGCATGCCAGAGCCAACCCTGGGCAGCCACTGCTCAGGCTTCAGGTCCCCAAGACCTGAGCAAATGCACTCCCTGCTGCTCAAAGTCCCAGGCTCCACATGGCTGCAAGCTGCAGCTCCCTTGAGACCACCACTCTGAGGCTAGGCAGGACCCAGGCTGAGGGGCTTTGCCCACTACCCATGGCCCACCAAGCCCTTCTGTGAGGCTGCCCTGTGGGCCACCCTGGCATCAGCCACCCCAGGGCTCAGGACACGTCGCTTGGCCCCGTGGCTCCCTGTGCAGCCAGGAGCCAGGGCGGCTGACAGCAGAGCCCCAGGGACTTGGCCTTCCCTGCCCCAGCATCCAGGCGAGGCTCTCCCCGAGTTGGAGGAGCGTGCCTACAACCTCACCTGCCTCCAGGAGCACCGAGGAAAAGTCCAGGGGCCAGAGCCGCAAGTAGCCGTCCGCAGAACCCACAGCACACATGGCCGGGGAGACACTGAGGCTGCTGATGGCAATGCCGGGGCCTGGGGGCAGGGGGCGTCAGTGCCTCAGTGTCCCTGCCACCCTCGCCACACGGCAGGAGCCCTCTTACCTGTGCTGAAGGTCTGTTTCTGCGGGTGGGGGCCGCCCGGAGTCTGTGTGGGGAGCAGGCGGCGGGCATGCCGCACGACCATGCACCGACAGTCGATCTCCAAGATGTGGCCGCTGCGGCTGCACACGAAGCTGCCCAAGAAGGCAACAGGGGAGGTAAGGCCCTCAGGGTACCAAGCACCAGGGCCCCCACGCTGGGGCAAGCTGTGGGGAAGGGCAGGGGCTCACAGCATGGCAGCCGAGGGTTCCGGGCAGCCGTCCTGGGCCTGCTTGAAGGCGAGGTCGGTGAACTGCAGCACGTGGTGCTCCCCCAGGTCCACGGGGCAGGAACGCAGCGCCCCGCCACGCAGCCGCCAGAGCCGCACGCTGCCCTGCCCACACGATGCCATCCTGCGAGGAATGAGAACTGAGCACCGCAGCAGCCCGCAGTGCCCTGACCCGCCAGGAGACGTGATACACAACCAAGGCTGGGAACGACGGTCCCCGAGCCAGGGGGAGGTGCTCGGGCCGCAGTCCCCACTCCGGGCCCCAGTCCCCGCTCCGGACCCCAGTCCCTCTCCCAGCATCGTGGATGGGTGGCTGCATCACCTGGTTTCATCAAAAAAGGTGACCCGGAAGGCCTGGACGTCAAAGTCAGTGTGCGCCTTTGCCAGAACGACCACCTCGCCACCGAGGCCCACCTGGCCAGTGCCCCAGGCCACCACCATCTGCAACAAGCCCAGGCTGAGCCCGCACAGCAGGGCCAGTCAGTGCCGCCTTGATTCTGCCAGGCCCAGCTGAGCCCCACCTGGAGGTGGCTTTTCTCTCACGCAGAGACCAGCCTCTGAGCGTGTGGCTGTGGAGGGTGGAAGGAAACCAGCCCCTCCATCTTCTCGCCCTGACATGTGGCAGCTTTGGGACGACTACAGAGACCCACGATGCTGAGTGCTGCATCCCATCCACAGAAGTAAAAACCCCCCCACAAGCCGGAAGGCAGATAAAAAGCAGCTCGCGGCCGGGCACAGTGGCTCACGCCTGTGATTCTAGCACTTTGGGGGGCTTGAGGTAGGAGGACTGCTTGAGCCCTGGAGTTTGAGACCAGCCTGGCCAATGTAACGAAACCCCATCTCTACAAAAAGTTAAAGAAACAAAACGCTAGCCAGGTGCAGTGGCCCGCGCCTGTGTCCCGCTGTCTGGGAAGGTGAGGCAGGAGGATGGCTCGAGTCCAGCTGGCAGGGAGGTCAGGGAGGGGTCGAGGCTGCAGTGAGCCATGATTGCCCCAATGCATTCCAGCCTAGGTGACAGAACAAGGCCCTCCCTCAAAACAAAGTGTTCTAAAAAAGTGCCCCCACCGAGACGCCAGGCGCTTTGGCTGTGTGGACGTGCCCAAGCGTGGGTAGCTGCAGGGGCTCTGCCATGTGAAAATCTCATAACCGCATCACCAGCAGAGAGAACGAGGCAAGGTGTGTAAACGCTGACTTAAACCGACTCCAATGGCCGATAAACGAAGACATGTGAGAAATGTGAGCTGCTGGTGCTTTCTGTAGAGAGCAGGGGGGCGGCATGAACATCGGAGTGCACAGAGCCCCACCACAGGGAGGACACAGAGCAGGGACCCAGGATCACATGAGGTGGAGGTTCAGAAAACCAAGACCCTTTAAGCTGCCTGCGTGCATCAGGACGGCCCCCCCGGCCCCCAGCCCCCGGCCAGGGCCCTGTTACCGTCCTCCCGTGGCGGTCCTTGCCAACCCCGCAGAGAAGGGCCCCGCTGTCAGAGAAGCTGTAAACGGGGGGAGGTGGTCAGTGTCGCCTGGGCTGACCCCCACCCCCTGCGTGGGGCAGACCTGTGCCCACCTGAGGGAGCAGACGACATGCACTGGGCTCTGGAACAGGCACAGGCACCGCCCGGTCTGGAAGTCCCAGAGCCGCATCACACTGGGGGTCCTTGCCTGGGCCGAGGCCAATAGTGAGCTGCTGCCATCCAGCGCCAGGGCGGATACCTAGGAGGCAGAAGGGTGAGGGAGGGTGCAGAGGCTGCAGGTGCGAGCTGCCCTGGGCCCAGGCAGCACCCACCTTGTCTGTGTGGCCGAGGAAGAAGCGCTGCTCCCCCGTGTCCACGAGCAGGACGACGATGACCGCATGGCAGGGGTATACAACAGCTGTCCCGTCCGGGGTCCACAGGGCCTGGCACAAGGGGGCAGGGAGCTTAGGACTGGTGCTATGCCAGGCCCCTCCTGTCTGCTGGGAGGTCAGCTTCACCTCCCACTCCAGCCGAGGGAGAGGGGGTGGCAGGCCCGGCACATACACCTGGGCACACAGCCACCCAGGGGCAAGAGAAAACACCCTGCACACGCTACACACCCGAGTCACAGGCTGCAGATGTCAAAACGGCTGGAACATGCAAGCAGGCACGCGCACACACATGCACAGACGCCTGTCCTCTAAGCCCTGCCTCCAGTGCAAGAAACTCCGGGGTGGGGATAACAAAAAGCCAAAGGGCCCCCAAACACTCAGAGCAGGCACCCAGCAGGCCTTCTCCTAGAAGGCCGTCGCCACCCATCAGGGACCCACAGGTTGTGCCCACAGCCTTGCCCCACGCTGCTGGTATGGACCATCAGAGCTCTAAAGACGTGAGAGCTCTGGGTCTTCGGGGGGAGCACTTAGCCCAGCAAGTAAGAGATGCCTGTGACCCTGAGAGCCCCCTGGTACCAGGAGGTGACAGCAGCTGTGGGCGGGGCAGATGCCTGAGCACGCGGGAAGCAGCAGTCTGCAGGGGGACGGGACCGCTGTGGCCAGGGGGCTCGGGAGCCCACATAGCCACCACAGGATATATAGGTCTCTCCTTTCTCCCCGTCCCATATCAGCGCTCAAGTCAGCCAACAGGAGCTGCTCTGGACACAGCCACAGGAGCCTCACCTGTCTGGTGCTGTGGCCCCCAAAGCCGATGACGCCCTTGAGCCTCAGGATAGGGTCCGGGAGGAAGCGCTGAAACAGCCATTCACATCAAGGCCCTGGAAGGCTCAGCCAGGCCCCCAGAACGCCCCTGACCAACTCCGGGCCCCGCCAACCCCTAACTGGGTCCTGCCTCTCAAGAAGACTGCCCTGCTCCTGGGTAGCTCCTGTTGGTGTGCTAGGGAGGAAGCTGGGACTCCGGCTGCACTGCCAGACCTTCCAAGGCCCCCCACAGACCAGCTGGGGCTTCCTTACTCTTTGTGGACAGAGATTCTTCCCCAAAGCTGCCTCCCGCCAGCCTCAGGAGGCTGAATCAGAGGAGACCGTCAGAGACACATTCGTCCTGAACCCATCTCGTGGGAGGCTACCAGCTGCCCCGGCCCACACATCACCGGACCCCGCCTGCTGTGGGATGGGCACTCACCTTGCAGGAGCTGGCGTCCTCAAGGGCCACAGGCACCTCAGTCGACTCGTGAGTCAACACGTGGGTGCCGGCAGCAGTCGTGGGGACGTCAGAGGCCTTCACCTGGGCCCAGGGCTCAAGGCTATGGAAAACGGGGCCATCCGAGTTGGAGGCCTCTGAGCGCTCTTGGGACAGGCTGACCTCTGGGAAGGGCCTGGGTGCCAAGGGGGCCTGGCCGGACTGTTGGGGGACAAGTGCCCATCAGTGCCCTGGGCCGTCACGCCCCAACCCCATCTCAGAGGGCGAAGGGGATACTCACGGCTGTGGGGCTGGGTGTCTGGACCACTGGAGACACACTGAATTGCACAGGTTTGCCGGAGGCCACCGGGCAAGGGAGAGGCTGTGGCCCCAGCCCCAGGAGGACTACAACAGAGCAAAGACCCCCAGTGACCCAGGGGTGAGCTATGCAGACCCCTGGTGAAGGTGACGCCTGGGGAGGAGCAGCAGCAAGTGGCCTAGCCTCACAGGCTCTGCAGGACCCACAGCCAGCATCCCACTTCCGCCCTAGGCCCTGAAACCCCCCTCTTCCAGCTAGAAAGCTTGGGGACCCCAGGTACCCCTCACACAGACCTCCCACCCATGTGGTTCTGGGAGCTCGGACAACCTACATACAGCCTTCCCTGGGTCCCTGCACCAGCTGCAGCCAGCACACCACTGGGTCCTTTCCCAGCCCTCCCCTCTCCTACCAAGCCCCACGCACCCTATAGGCCTTAACCTGGGTCCCAGCTGACCCCACGGGCCCACCTGCCTCAGGAGGTGAACAGCTCTTGTCAATCGGCTTGGAAGGCACTTTCAAGCTGTTGCTTGGAAACCTTGGCAGGCAGAGGGAGAGTCAGCGTCTGGGGGCCCAAGGGCCACCTACCCTCCCACCACCAAGGCCGCCGTGGAAAAAAGCAGAACCACTCACCGGACATGGACGTAGCGGTCATGCCAACTCTCTCCCTTGGGCACAGGGAAAGCCATTTCCCGAGGCATAGGAGTGACGGGCAGCTTTGCCCACGGGGCCCCAGAGATGGCTACAAGGAGCAGGGTTGTTCCAGGTCAAGGGAGGCTGTTTGGCCACCTGAGCACAGGGCACCTGCCAAGGCACCGCCATACCACCAGCCCAGCCACCACCCCACCCCTGGGCGCCTCCGGGATGGGGTTCTCCCAGAGATCAGAAACAGCACAGATTTGAGTACTGTACTTTCCCAAGCACCCTGGACTCGGGCCTCTCCAGGGCTGACAGCACGGGTGAGACGTGGAGTGGGGAGCACAGGTGCGGCCCTCACCAGGCTCAAAGCACAGGTCGCTGGTGTAAAGGTTCCTGACCAGCAGGCTGGCGCACAGCCTGACGCTCTTGAGATGGCCGTAGCGACGGTTCAGGTAAACCAGGAGAATGTCCTGCAGGTCGAGCTGCAGGCAGGTCCAGCGGGCTCCATGGGGGACCAAACCCACCAGAGCTGCAGGACAGGCACTCAGGGTCAGCGCCCACCCGCCTGACAGCCCGACTCCCAGAACTGTGAGCTTGTGCCCCTGCCAGGTTGTCCCCCAGGCCACAGAGAAGCCTCACTGGGCCTGCACCAGCTCTCTCCAGCCGCCTGTCCTGGACCATCCACACCCCATCTCAGTGTCACCTCTCTGGGGTGTCCTGGCCTCCAGGACGAAGGGAAACTGGAGCCGGGTGGCCGTAGATTTAAATTCCTTGAAGAGGTTGGAGAAAGACACACGGATGACCTGGTTGTCCTGTGGGGACGGAGCAGGGCCTTGAGGAGACCGGCCGCAGGGGTGCTGGGGCTCCCATGCAGCCCCCAGCCGCGGGCTCTGTACCTCGGTGGACACATCCAAGTGGATAACGAAGTGCTTGCTGGGCAGGGGCCGAAAGAGCACATACAGGTACCGCCCGGTCAGCCCCAGGGACTGGGTGCTGTTCTTAGGCAGCTGGATGTAGTTGGCGGCAGAGACTGAGCCCCGAATGCGATACACGGCGCCCTTCAGGGTCTTGTCCTGGAGAAGCGGGAGCCCGCGTCACCGACGGCACCCAGGAGAAGTGCAGCGGGGCTGAGGGGGCCCTCGGGGGCGGGGCCGTTCTCCCGGGGGCAGGGCAGGGGTGTGGGCTCCGGGCGAGCCCCGGCCGCCTACCGTCACCACGGCCACGTCCCCCTGCTTGGCGGAGCGCTTCCACTCGTCCACCCGGAAGTGTCTGAAGACGTTGAGGAACGGGTGCTGCCACGCTGCGGGGAGCGGGCGGCGGGCGTCAGGGGGCCCGGCCACGCGAGCGGGAGCCACTGCGGGGCTGAGCCGGGCCTCGGGGACCAGGCAGGAGCCGGTGGGGCCAGGGCTCCCCGCGCCTTCCCCGGCGACGCCAACGCCAGCGAGGCGGGCGGGACGAGTCCGGGCGCCCGAGGGAAGCCAAGCTCCGGGAGCCCGAGGGTGGGCGCCCGGCAGGCGGTACCCTGCCCGAGCGGGGACTCTGGCCTCGGGGCCTAGGCGGGGGCCCTGAGCGCCCCGGCCGCCGACCCTGGACGCCGGAATCCCGGAACCCGGGACCCGCGCCCGCCGCGCGCTACCTGGGGCCATGGCGCCGCTCGAGCTTCCCGCCTTAGCGTCCGCGCGCCCAGCGCGGGACACGCAGCGCGGCGCCTGGCAACGGCTGCCTGACAACGGTGCTACTTCCGCCATCACTTCCGCCGTCATGGCGGCACCCTGGCCACGTGACCTCCCCCTTGTAAGCACCCCGCTCACGTCGACAGCCTCCAGGGTTGCTCCGGCAGCTGACCCCGCTGCCCTTTGCCCCGCGGCCCTCCCGAGGCAGCCCCGTGTTAGCCCGACCGGCTTCGAAGCCCGGGCAGGTTGCGGACCCTCCCCCCTGCCCACCTGTCAGCGCCTCGGCCGGAGCTCCTGCCGCGTGCAAGCAGCAAGGCGAGGTTGCACTGAGGCCTGGCCATGCCACGGACAGCCGGGCCTCACCCTTCCGCTCTCTCGCCGTCCGGAGGCCCCTGGTCCACACCTGGGTACCCTGGGTCCTGACTCAGGTGGACTGGGTCACCCCAGCTCATCAGGGAAGGTAGTGCCGGCGCCCGCGGAGTGCCTGGTTCCCGTGCTCGTCCTGGCAGGTTCCCCACGCACTCCTTCGCTCAGTGTCCCGCGGCCGGGCCCGCGGATTCAGAATGGGGCCTGGCGTTCTGAGACATAGCCCCAATCCTGGTGGTGGGGGGAGGTGGTCAGGACCTTTTCATGTCTTTAGGCCTTGAGTCTCGGCTCTTGTCCCAGTCAACGCCAACGGGAGAGGAAGGAGGAGCAAAGTGGGGTCCACAGATTTCCAAGCAAGGTGAGCTGGCCAACGTTCCTCCCACCTGTCAGAGGGCAGCTGGGTGAGAAGCCAAGGGCCTGAGGGGACAGGGCTACAAGGGGAGTTTGTGCTGGGCCTGGTGTCCCAGGCTGCGGACTGGAACTGGACATGAGGACTCCCCTACACCCTCCCAAGTCAAAGACACTCCAAAAAGGCAGTTTCTCGACTTTATTAGCCTGGAGCTCCTCCCCACCAGCCCCAGGGGCCGGTTGCTGGTCCCTGGGCACAGTGAGCAGGGCTGAGGTCAGATGGGTTCGGCCCCTCGCCATGGCAGCTTGGTTGGGACAGCCGGGCCAAGGGAACAACAGGTGCAAAAGTCCAAATGCTGGCACTTCAGGTGTGGCCGGCGCCCAGCCAGGTGCAGTGGGTGGGTGGGGCACCATGCTTCTCTCCTGGCCACAGGTCGGCTGTGCAGCAGCGCCCTCTCCCAGCAGCCACTACGAACAGCTGGTGATTCTCGCCAGGAACTGTTGTGCCCACCACTCATCCAGGTCAATGGGCACGAAGTCTGTGGGCAGAGAACGCTGGACAGTGATGCTGCCTCCCAGGCTGGCCAGCATTTCTCCCCTGGAGCTAACCACAAGCCACTCACCCGGGCTCTGAGTGCGGCAGGCGCTGGGAAGAAGAGGTTGCTGCACAAGAGTCCCCTCCCTCATCCCCTGGGGTGGGAACCTGGCAGGGCCTGGGTCAGGATCAGAGGGACTGGGGGGTTTCTCCTGGGGGGACAGGGTTGGGGGGCTCACTCTGCAGCCGGGGATTGGGGGTCCTCTCCACGTACTGCACAGGCCTTGGCCTGCCCTCACCGGCTGGGCCACCATCCAGCTGCTGCTGCACCTGCTGCCAGGCTGTGGGAGGAGGGTAGTCGGGCTGAGCCAGGTCCCAGGCACCCCATCGCCCACCCAGGGCCTGATGGTCACCCTGGACTCCAGCCCCACACAGGGCTGGTCACAGGACACAAGGGCAGAGTGCCAAGGAAAAGCACAGCCCTGCAGCGGCTGGGGGTCAGCTTGAAGTGGGGCCATCCCAGGTCCATGTTACTGCACCCAGCAGCCTGAGCCGCACCCTCTGGCCCTGCTCGCTACCTTCGGACACAAAGCGGACATTCTCCTCGTGGGCCAGTGTGTAGGTCTCCTGGGTCCCCTCGAGGGATGGGGACGTGGAGGGGGCCCGCCGGCCATTCACACGATTGAACACAAGCCTTGGCCCTGGACTGCAGGGAGGGAGGAGACGGACATGGTTGGTGCCCGTCCCAGGCCCGGTGCTGCCTGGCAGAACTCAGGAGCAGCCCCGGGCCAGCCCACTGTCCCCAGACCCGGCCAGCCTAAGCACTTCCTGAACCCCAGAGAGCAGCCACCTGCAGCAGCCAGTGGCCCAGGCCTCTCTCTTGCAGGCCCCAAGTCATCGGCAGCTCAGCTTACACCTGCAGCCCTCTGCCCTGAGGGAAGTGAGTGACTGTAGGGTGGGGGCCTCAGTCTTGGTGTCCCAAACCCCTGGTCGGGCCCCACTCCGTGCCCCTCCAAGGGTCTTGCAGGTGCCCGTGCTGCCACCTGCATCCCATCAGCAGCCCAGATTCTGACCTGAGCCACGACCTGGTCCGTGACCATGTCTCTGCCCCAAACCCCCACTCTGGGTGCGGTTCTAGGCCACATTCTCGCCCCACAGAAGCGCCTCCATCTCCATGATGTTTCCCTCTGTGGACGGATGGACCTGGACGGGAACGAGGGGCTTCTGCCCTCTCCCTGGCTGCCCCCAGGTCCCATGGGATGAGCACTGGGTGCCGGGATAGGCAGTCCCTGAGTGGGGAGAGTGACTATAACCCTCACTCACTCCCCACCAGCCCGAGACAAGGGGCGATGCCAAATGAGATGGCTCCCGCAGTGCTGCACGCAACATCTAGCAGGTCCCTGGGCCCGTCCAGGCCAGCAGGGCCTAGGGCAGGGATGGGCGGCCCCAGCTAGCCAAGCCCTGAGCACACAAAGCCCGGCACAGGGCTGTGGAGGGAATGGGGCCGCACCTACAGCCGGAGGTGGGAGCCGGGAGTCCTGGGCTGCGCCTGCTCCGCCAGGCACTCGCGGTCCCGGCCGGCCTGCTTGCCTTCCTGGGCTCAGGTGCCCCAGCGCCGCTCTCGGTTCCTCCTCAGCTGAGAGGGGCACTAAAATAAAGAGGAGCGTCTTGAGGGGCGCAGGGTCCCGCCGGCTCCGGGGCTGGCAGGGTCTGGTGGCCGCAGAGGATCTTAAAACGTGCAGGTGGTGGAGATGGGACAGGGGCAGGGGCACCGACACCTCCCAGGCCTGCCCGCTGCCTGAGTTTCTGCACAAACCACAGGGAATAAAGTTTGTCCACTTGGAAAGCTCTCTTGCCTGCAACCCACTCCCATCTTGGAAAGCCAAAAACTCCAAGAAAGCTTGGCGGTTGGATTATCAATGTCTAAGGAGAGAAGAACATTGCCAGGGGCTGTGAATCGCAGGGCGGAGGTGGAGGCCCTCGGGCTGAGATGGGCCCCGGGAGGCAGGCACCACCCCAGGGGTTCTGGTTACGTAAGGCTGCGGCTCTCTGGGGGAAAGGGCACCCACCCAGCGTGCACCTGTGGACCACTGCCAACCTCTCCCACTTCCAGGGACACTGCTCCGGGCAAACTTCAGCCCAGGGAGCTGAAAGCTGTGGAGTGTATCCTTTCATCTCCCCTCCACAGTTCACCATTTTTTCAGCCCATGAAGCTGGGCTTGGGAGAGAATCCACCTGAGCACATCACATGCTGAGTGGGGGCAACGCTAGGATGTCATCGAAAATCCAACAACAGAGTCCACGGCCCTGACCTAGTACAGCCCCCAAGCCAACCCCCCAGCCTGCCCTCACTGGGCCTCAGACCCCCCCGTCTCTCGCAGGCTGCCCCGTCTCACCCTGTGGGGCTCATCCCATTGTCCCTTCCTGTGGCAGTCCCCATGCCCTCCATCTGCCCTGGGGTCGGGTGACCACATGGCCCCATCTTATCTCCTCAATGACTTATATCACCTTAGTTTATCTTACTGCCTCCCAACCTGTCTCCCACCAGGAGAAAGAACTTTTCAAAGGTGTATCTGGGCAGGGCCTGGTGGCTTACGTCTGTAATCCTAGCACTTTGGGAGGCCGAGGAGGGCGGATCGCCTGAGGTCAGGAGTTCAAGACCAGCCTAGCCAACATGGTGAAACTCCATCTCTACTAAAAATACTAAAAATTAGCGAAGCATGGTAGCGGGCACCTGTAATATCAGCTACTCGGGAGGCTGGGGTTGCACTTGAAACTGGGAGGGGGAGGTTGCAGTGAGCCGAGATCACGCCACTGCACTCCAGCCTGGTGACAGAGCGAGACTCCGTCTCAAAAACAAACAAAGGTGTATCTGGCCTGTCACTGTCCTGGGCAGTGCCCAGACCCATACCTGGCAGGAACCAGAGCCAGCACACATCGTGGATGACAAGACTTGACCCTCCGGGTGCAGCAGAGGAGACGCGCAGGGACCCCGACACCCTCCTCCTGCGCCCAGTCAGTGAGGGATGAGGAGTATCAAAAAGCAGCAAGGAGAAAAAAGGGCAGGGCAGGGCAGGGCCAGGCACAGTGGCCCACGCCTATAACCCCAACGCTTCCACAGGCCAAGGCGGGAGGATTGCTCGAGCCCTGGAATTGAATACTAGCCTGGGCAACATAGTGAGACCCATCTGCATAAAATTTAACAATTCACCAGGTGTGGTGCTCGCCTATCGTCCCAGCTACTCAAGAAGTTGAGAGGTGGGAGGATCGCTTGCACCTGGGAGGTTGAGGCTGCAGTGAGCCATGACTGCACCACTGCACCCCCCGGCCTGGGTGACAGAACAAGACCTCGTCTCAGAAAGAAAAAAATAAGGCCGGGCGCGGTGGCTCAAGCCCGTAATCCCAGCACTTTGGGAGGCTGAGATGGGCGGATCACGAGGTCGGGAGATCGACAGCATCCTAACTAATATGGTGAAACCCCGTCTCCACTAAAAAAAAATACAAAAACTAGCCAGGCGAGGTGGCGGGCGCCTGTAGTCCCAGCTACTTGGGGGGCTGAGCCAGGAGAATGGCAGGAACCCGGGAGGCGGAGCTTGCAGTGAGCTGAGATCCGGCCACTGCACTCCAACCTGGGCGACAGAGCGAGACTCCGTCTCAAAAAAAAAAGAAAGAAAAAAATAAAATGAGGCAGGGAGATGGGTGGCAGCATGGGGTGGGGTGGTTCAGAGGGAAGGGGGTTGGTTGGCCAGGCACGGTGGCTCACACCTGTAATCCTAGCACTTTGGGAGGCCGAGATGGGCGCATCACTGGAGGTTGGGAGTTCGAGACCAGCCTGACCAACATGGAGAAAACATGGACTCTACTAAAAATACAAGATTAGCTGGGTGTGGTGGCACGTGCCTGTAATCCCAGCTACTCAGGAGGCTGAGGCAGGAGAATCGCTTGAACCTGGGAGGCGGAGGTTGCGGTGAGTGGAGATCCTGCCATTGCACTCCAGCCTGGACAACAAGAGCGAAACTCCATTTCAAAAAAAAAAAAAAGACAGAGGGAAGGTGGTTGCCCCAAGAAGGTGCAGGAGCAGGGTGGGGCCTTCATGCAGAGGTCCCACTGCTGCCAGAAGCTCCCAGCACTGGATCCTGGGGGTGGGGAGGTGGGTGACCCCAGGGAGCAGAGGGCAGCACACACCCTGCCCTGCCCAGGGCTCCTCCAGCCCTGCCGCACATGGGGTGAACTCCACTCGACTCCCACATGTCTCACTGGCTGACAGAGGACCTCAGATGGGGACTTTAAGAGAACAGGCCGGGCGCGGTGGCTCACACCTGTAATCCCAGCACTTTAGGGGGCTGAGGCGGGCAGATCACGAGGTCAGGAGATCGAGACCATCCTGGCCAACATGGTGAAATACAAAAATACAAATTAGCTGGGCATGGTGGCAGGCGCCTGTAGTCCCAACTACTCAGGAGGCTGAGGGAGGAGAATCGCTTGAACCCGGGAGGCAGAGGTTGCAGTGAGCTGAGATCGCACCAGAACACGCCAGCCTGGGCGACAGAGCGAGACTCCGACTCCAAAAAAAAAAGAGAGACAACAGCCAGTGGGCCTGGTGTTGCCCACTGGGACCCTTGAGGTTCCAAGGGGAGGCCACAGTGGCCGGACTGAGGCGCCTGTGGTCTTGGGAGGGCACTGGGTTAGGAAAGGCAGAAGCAAGGGGAGGAGGAGGCCCCACTGCCCCAGGGTGTCTGGGGTGAAGGCCGGAGGAGGGCAGAGGCCCTGCCCGACGGAAGCACACGCACGTCTCCCCCACTGAGCTCTGCAAGGGCAGAGCCGGGAGACCTTGAGAAGCAGCGCCCGGCGCTCTCCGCGAACGGTGGCCTGGGCCTGCTGCACGTCAGGGTTCCAGCCGCCGCCCAAGGCTGGAGGCCCCCGCGACCCAAGAGCGGGCCAGCTTTCTCCCCGCTGGGGGCCCGGGCCCGGCCAGGTGAGGCGGAAGCGCGAGGCGCAGGCCCGCGGGCGCGTAGTGGGCAGGACCCGCGCACCCCCGCCGCCGGAGCGCTCGCAGCGCTCGCCCCGCCCGCAGCACGTGGCCGGACCTTACTAACATTTCCCCCAAGGTCACCCTCCGCGCCAGGCGGCCGGCGGGGGAGGGGAAGCTGGGCCGGGCCGGGGCCGCTCGCGTCTCACCTCGACAGGGGCCAAGGTCCCGGCGGCTGCGCGAAGGGCTGCGCCCGCGGGGGCTGCGAGGTCGGCGGCGCGGGCTGCCGGCATTTCAGGAGCTCGCCCAGCCGGCCCTCCACCTGCTGCTGCGTGGGACCTGCGGGCACCGGAGGGCGGTCAGCCGCCGCCGCGCCCCGCCCCGTCCCCGTCCCCGTTCCCCGGCCCGTGCGCACCTGTGCGGCGCTGCGCGACCAGCTTGCTGGGCCCCTTGGTGATGGTGTACATGGCGCGCCGCTTCCACACCACCGCCGGCCCCCGGCCAGATCCGGCCCCTGCGCCCGGGCTCCCACTTAACGGACGGCGGGCGCTGCGGGGAGGGGGCGGGCCCGTCACACGCCCCCGGCCCTTAAAGGGCCCGCACGGGCTCGGGCCAACCCCGGGACTCGCGGCGGAGGCAGCGCTCGGGCCCTTTGGGAAGCTGGCAGGCGGGGGCGGAGCCGGCAGCAACCCCGCCCCAGCCCCCGGCGGCGCGAGGCCAGGGCGGACGAAGCGCCCTGCGGCCCGGGAAGGCAGTTGCTGCCTGGAGGCTAGGTGAGTCCCGGGGCACCGGACTCAAGACTGCTGGCGGCAGGTCCCAAGGGCCCTGCGGGGTCAGCCGCGATGTGCCAGCAGGGTCCTGGGAGCCCCGGGGCCCACCTTTGACAGGCGTTGGAGGAGAACCTGTGCTGGGGGTCCCCGTGCTGAGGGGCCCTATGCCAGGGGATCCCTGTGCTGGGATCCCTGTGCTGGGATTCCTGTGCTGGGGAGATTCCTGTGCTGCGGGGCTCTGTACTGGGGGCCCTGTGCTGCAGGTGTCTGTGCAAGGGGGCTTTGCTGGGGGGTTCTACACGGGGACTCTGTTGGGCATCTGCTGGGGAGCTCTGTGTTGGGGGCTCTGTGCTTGGGGGACTCTGTGCTGGGGAGCTCTGTGCTGGGGGACTCTGCTGGGGGCGTCTGTGCTGGGGGACTCTGTGCTGGGGCGTCTGTGCTGGGGGCGTCTTTACTGGGCTGCTCTGAGTTGGGAGCTCTGTGCTGGGGGACTCTGTGCTGGGGGCGTCTGTACTGGGGGACTCTGCTGGGACTCTGCTTGGGAGCTCTGTGTTGGGGACTCTGTGCTTTTAGGGAGCTCTGTGCTGGGGGACTCTGCTGGGCGTCTGTGCTGGGGGACTCTGTGCTGGGCGTCTGTGCTGGGGCGTCTTTACTGGGCTGCTCTGGGTTGGGAGCTCTGTGCTGGGGACTCTGTGCTGGGGGCGTCTGTACTGAGGGACTCTGCTGGGGACTCGTGTGGGGAGCTCTGTGTTGGGGACTCTGTGCTGGGGCGTCTGTACTGGGGGATCTGTGCTTGGGGGCTTTGTGCTGGGGGGACTCTGCTGGGCATCTGTACTGGGGACTCTGCTGGGGAGCTCTGTGCTTAGGAGCTCTGTGTTGGGGACTCTGTGCTGGGGCGTCTGTACTGGGGGATCTGTGCTTGGGGCTCTGTGCTGCAGGGGACTCTGTGCTGGGCGTCTGTGCTGGGCGTCTTTACTGGGCTGCTCTGAGTTGGGGGGCGTCTGTGCTGGGGGCGTCTTTACTGGGCTGCTCTGAGTTGGGGGCTCTGTGCTGGGGGAGTCTGTGCTGGGCTGCTCTGTGCTGGGGGCATCTTTACTGGGCTGCTCTGTGTTGGGAGCTCTGTGCTGGGGGAGTCTGTGCTGGGCTGCTTTGTGCAGAGGCTGTAGGCAAGGGTTTACCACTCATACTTGGGGAGCCTCAGCCAAGATGCCTGCAGAGGACTGAGCCAGTGTGAAGGGTCACCCTTGGCTTGGGTCTTGGGACTGGATCTAAGAAGAGGAAAAGGGGCTTATCCCCCGGACTTGGGTAGAGACATGATGCCCTGGGAGTCTCCCTTCCATCCCGGGAGTCAGAACCCTGGCTGCACTCTGCCCACGTCCTGGCCCCCACGCTGAGGTGCACCCAGAAGCGCGACATGTGCCTCTTCGGCCCTCGTGGCTCCTGTACCCGCCCCACAGATGCGAGAATGTGGCAGGCCAGGTCTCACTAACGCAGGCCTCCGTAACGTAACAATTATTTCAGTGCGGAGTGGTTAAATATTAAAAGCTAAGCTGTGCAGGAGCAGTGGCTTACACCTGTAATCCCAGCACTTTGGGAGGCCCAGGCAGGTGGATCACCTAAGGTCAGTAGTTCGAGACCAGCCTGGCCAATTTAGTGAAACCCCATCTCTACTAAAAAAAAAAAAAAAAAAAAAAATGCCGGGTGTGGTGGCACGCACCTGTAGTTGCAGCTACTCCGGAGGCTGAAACAGGAGAATCACTTGAACCTGGGAGGCGGAGGTTAGAGTGAGCCAAGATCACATCTCTGCACTCCAGCCTGGGTGACAGAGCAAGACTCCGTCTCTAAAGAAAAAAAGCCAGCACCCTTCCTCAAAGGCTGAAATGTAACAAAAGCCCACCAAGAGTTGTGCCCAGTCCTCTCCTGGGCCTTGAAGCATGACAAGATAATGAAGGAATTCTTTTTTCTTTTTTTTTTTTTGAGATGGAGTCTCGCTCTGTCGCCCAGGCTGGAGTGCAGTGGTGCAATCTCAGCTCACTGCAAGCTTCCCCTCCCGGGTTCAGGCCATTCTCCTGCCTCAGCCTCCTGAGCAGCTGGGACTACAGGCGCCCGCCATCACGCCTGGCTAATTTTTTGTATTTTTAGTAGAGACAGGGTTTCACCTTGTTAGCCAGGATGGTCTCGATCTCCTGACCTCGTGATCCGCCCACCTCGGCCTCCCAAAGTGCTGGGATTACAGGCGTGAGCCACTGCGCGTGGCCAGGAATTCTTAATAGGACCCATTTAGGATTAAACAAGTTTATTGGGGGTCTGAAGAAACTCTCCAGGCCTCCACAGACAAGTTTATTGGGAGCCCGAAGGAACTCTCCAAACCTTCATGATTTAGCAGCAGACAAGATTAAGTCAGTTTACTGAGGTTCCAGAGGAAGGTCTTCAGAACTCAGACCTTAATTATAGACTAAAAGAAGTTAATCACTTGGCTGGGCGCGGTGGCTCACGCCTGCAATCCCAGCACTTTGGGAGGCCAAGGTGGGCGGATCACGAGGTCAGGAGATAGAGACCATCTTGGCTAACACGGTGAAACCCTGTCTGTACTAAAAATAGTGAGCCGAGATCACGCCGCTGCACTCCAGCCTGGGCGACAGGGCAAGACTCCGTCTCCAAAAAAAAAAAAAAAAAAAAAGCTCATCACTTGTGTCTTTAGATGAATGCATACTTACACATAGACATACAGCTTGGAAGGTACATAACCTCTGGAAAACTTTGTAATTTGAGTTGGTCTGGCGGGAATTTCCAGGCCTTCTGCCTGTAACTGGTTGCAGAAATAAAAACCCTCTTCCTCCCCAGTTCCTCTGCATCTCGTTACTAGAGCACGAGAAACAGCAGCGTGACTCTCAGTTTGGTCCAGCAACAAGAGGAGACTCTGCCTATGCCAGTGTCAGGGCCTGAGGTGTCCAGTGGCCCCCACATTCTCCGAGGAGAGGTCAGGGATGCTGTGGCTGAAATCCGAGCTGTGGCGGGTGGGCGGCGGGGCCCAGAGTCTTTCTGTCTAAATCTCCAGGCGAGGAACATGCACCGCACGGAGGGGTGAGGGGAGGCTCTTGGTGGTGGGGGTGTCAGCCCGAGGAACCCACACCCCATGCACTGGCCCTGCTTCTCTTCTCTTCTGGGAGCTCCAGGCTTACTGGGAAGCCCTCAGGGCAGCTTCTGACCCAGATGGCCCTTGGCCCTGCACCCGTCCTCAGCATGGCTGAAGAGCTGAAGGAGAGCAGTTTCCATCCCCAGCTGCCTTCTCTGCAGGGCTGGGCCAGGCCTGTGGCCCTGAGGGCAGAGGAGCTGGAGAGCCACATTCAGGGAGGCCAAGCCTGACATGTCCCCTAGGAAGGACTCCTCGGGGACTGCCTCTTTTCTGCCTTCTGCTCCCACCGCTGCCCCCACCTTCCCCACTCCCCCACTTCCCCTCCCCCCACCAGCACCAGGCAGTGTGTCCTTCATGGAAGGCCAGTGTGATCCCCCGCCATCTGTGCAGCCTGTGTCCTGCCCAGGCTTCTCCCAGTGGCCTTCAGCACAGTCACACACAGGCCAGGGAGGCAGGACAGGGTGCTGGGGCCCCTGTGGCCTGAGGGCATGTGCTCCTTCGGAAAACCTGGCAGCAAGGAGCAGCTGGGTTAGAGTGAGGGCGGTGCTGGGGAGGGGAGCTCCATGTGGGGAAGGGCATAACCTGAGCTCACACAGGCTCCTGAGGGTGGCCCCCCACCCTTGGGGCCCACTGCAGGCGGCAAGGACAAGCTGGACTGGCCCAGAGCCCAGCAGCCCTAGCCTTTGCTTCAGCCAGGAGGCCAAACATCCAGCTCCAACAATAGGCCACATCTGAGGTCAAAGCTTGGGTCCAGCAGCCCTCATAAGGGCTCCCTGGGAGGAGCAGTGGGCAAAAAGGGATGAGAGCAGGAGGCGAGGCCAGGGGTCCTCAGGGCAGCAGGGAGCCGGGGCAGCTGAAGAAGGCAGAACGCCAGATAGTGAGGGCTGGCAGCTGAAGTCCTTGGCATCTGCCCAGGGGTGGGCTGGTCTGCCCCAGAGGGGCCTTCCTGGCCCCACTTGACCTGAGGACAGCTGGCAGGGCTCCCATGCTTACGTGGCATCCATGGGGCCTGGGCAGGGACCCGAGAGGTCAGGTCTAGACGTGACCCCAGCTCAGCTGCAGGGGCCTGGGGCCAGTTGGAGTTGGACAGGAGCCCTCGCCAGCCCGGCACAGGCTGTGGCTCCTGGTGAGGTCAGCATCCCACCGTCCGGTCCTGCCTACCTTCCCCTGGACAGACACTGTCTTCGTTTGTGAAGCCCTCACAGAGGCCATGTTTTCGGTGGCAGGGGAGGGGGACAGGGCCTGGAGCAGGACAGCTGGATGGAAGGAGCCTCCCCCAGCATGCAGGGTCCTCACAGACCCCAATCATCCTAATAAAAAAGTACTTTTTTCCCTCTTGAAAAAGGTTCTAGTTATGATACTAAGATTTTATGTAAAAAGTGAACAAAGCTCAGGTTTTCAGTCATCCTCAGTCGCTTTTCCACATCTAAAACCCATACCCTGACCCACCCAGACTTGAAGACAGGTTCCTTCAAGGCTCTAGCTCGGGTTCTGCCGAGGGAGGAGGCAACCACTGCCACCCCAGAAAAGGCTCTGGCTGGAGTCTGCCACTGAGTTTGTCTGGGACTGTTCAGCCTGTTCCCAGATCCAATGGTGGCCCCCCAAAAATACATCCACCTGGAACATCAGAATGTAACCGTATTTGGAATGAATTTTTGCAAATATAATCAAGGCAAGGATTTTGAGATGAAATCATCTGGGGCCAGGCCAGGTGTGGTGGCTCACACCTGTAATCCCAGCACTTTGGGAGGCTGAGGTGGGCGGATCACCTGAGGTCAGGAGTTCGAGACCAGCCTGGCCAACACGGCGAAACCCGGTCTCTACTGAAAATACAAAAATTAGCTGGGCGTGGTGGCGGGCACCTGTAATCTCAGCTACTTGGGAGGCTGTGGCAGGAGAATTGCTTGAACCTGGGAGGCAGAGGTTGCAGTGAGCCGAAATTGTGCCACCGCACTCCAGCCTGGGCTGCAGAGCAAGACTGTGTCTCAAAAAAAAAAATCATCTGGGATGAGGGTGGGCCCTAAATCCAATCACAGGTGCCCTTGCAAGACAAAGGAGAGGGAGATTTGGGCACAGACACAGAGAGGAGAAGGCTGCATAAAGACTAGAAGATTGGAGTGATGTGGTCCTGAGCCCAGGATCACCTGGGGCCACCAGATGCTAGAAGAGGCAGGAAGGACTTTCTGGCAGGGCCTTTGGAGGGAGCTGACACCTGTGTCTTGCGCTTCTGGTCTCCAGAACTATGAGGAAATAAGTCACCAAGCTCTGGGGTAATTTTCTACGGCAACCACCAAAACTCAGACACCAAGGAAAGTGGTGGGGGCTATGGAGACGGAAGGGGGCTGCGGAGGGCTTAGGAAGGACGCTCAGGACCCCAGGGCGGGCTCCAGAGAATGAGGCACATGGCACTGGACCCCAGGAGAGGAGCTGGACCCTGCTGTTGGACCTGAATGCCATGGGCCTGGATTCCCAGGATAGCCTCTGAGGGTGTGAGGACAGGCGCGGGTGGGGCTGTGAGCCCTCCAGGCCCTCTGTGGCAGAGGAGGCTGAGGAGCTAAGGCGCAACAGGATTTGCCCCTCCTTAGGCATCCCCGAGCACCTCCTGTAAGCCAGACCCCAAGACGGACGGGGCAGGCAGACTCCTGGAGCGGGAGGTGCAGCGAGGGGTCCTATCCTTCCCAGGAAGATGTGTTCAGAGACTGGGCGTGAGCATCAAGGCCAAGGCCAGCAGGTGCTGCTGTGTGGGCAGGATCGGGACTCCATGTCCCTCCCAGCGTGGAATCCAGAACCCGGGGTGCTCGTGGCACTGGTATTTTATTGCATAGATAAACACACACTGGGAAGGGTGGCCTG